CTCCCACACCTATGATGCAATTGGTGCCGTCGAAATATTGGACTATAAAAAAAATTATTGTTGGTATTATCCCGACCGTTTTTCTGATGGGGGTAGGCGGAATTTTTTTTTTCAATTAGTGTAAATAAAAATTAATCCCCTATTTTCTTAAAAATAAAACTAAAAAACTAGTACGAGCGGTAATTTTTCCGAAAATCGCAGTGCTGTACGCAAAACAGGATTTCATCGAATTTATGTTGGAACTTTGCTGAGTACAAGAATTATGTTCATATAAAACTAACCCATAGTATTTTTGTTTTGTCTAATTAGTATATATTTTATTATTGGTTCTATTATCAACAGAAAAAATCATGTCTGAAGCAGAAGCTAAAGTTGCAACTAAGACCAATTCAAAAAAGGCCGCTCGTCAACAGGCTAACGCGCCAGTTGATATTGGAGCTAACACAAACAACGATGAAAACGTTACATTAGCTCGTGTAACTGAGATTTTGGGTAAAACCGGTTCTAGAGGAAACGTTACTCAAGTCCGTGTCAGCTTCATCGGTGACAACCGCTCTTTGATTAGAAATGTGCGTGGACCAGTACGAACCAACGACATACTTTGCTTACTAGAAAACGAACGTGAAGCCCGTCGTCTCCGTTAATTCAAGGTTTTGTACATTAATATGCATTGAGCTACGTAACTTCTACAAGAATCGACCAAGATTATGCTATCCTTACGTTAAATAAAACATCTAAACCTCCATTTTTTCGGCTAAACAGGTATTATACTATTTTTAAACTCACTCAAGTGTTTTTACTATGATATCGTTGCTTGACTTATTCTTGTTTTTCACTTTCATAAAATAAAAGTTAAAATTTTCTTTACTATTTTTATCGGTTTTGAAACTAAAAATTAAACTATCTGCGATAAAAGTAAATATAAAGTTTTCAACCGTAGTTTTTTCAGGCACTTTGTCGAAGCGTACAATAATGGTAATGTATTCGTTCGACTCTACCTTACTGAGCTGTTTTAAAACTACGCCAGTATCGATTTTTGGGAAATTTTGTTCTTGCAGTAACTGATTGGCTTGGAGAAAAAAAGCTTCATCTAGTGAATCATTACTACTTGATAGTTTCTCTTTAAGAATTCGAGGTTTATGCTTAATAGACTTTTTATTCAATAGTTTTGCTAAATCTTCAGTGGGTTTCGATTTACTAAGTGAATGAATCAAATTTTGTATTTCACCTAATTCGTTCAGATCGACTAAATTTATTTGCTGCATCGGATCCCACGGAACCGAAAGCCTTAGTTGGGTGAAATCTTTATTTTTATTGTCATTCATTATATTGAAATCTAGGTTCCTGGCGAAAGAATAATCAGAAAACATTTCAGTTGTTAGATTTTGGTAAACCATTCTTTCAAGTTTGTATTCAGAAAAGCTACTGTCATGAGGAAACAAATAATTATCAGACTCACTTGTTTTTCTATTTGATAAAGACGAGTTAGAATTTATCAAATGGAAATTATTGCCAGGCTCTGGTCGAGAGAAACCGACTAAATTTACATCTGATTTGCTTGTTTCTACTTGAGTAATAGATTTATACTTATCAGAAAAAACGAAATAAAAGTGTTTTTGCAGCCAATTTTTGCTCATTTTGAACCAATTCTTGAAATTAGTCTGCAGATTTGCAAAAAAAATGTTTTTAGTGCCAAGAACGAAATCTTCTTGGCTCAGTTGACGTATCCAGAAACTATTACTTTCAGAAACACGCCAATTTTCGCTATCGTTACTTAAACAAAATTTATTCTCTAGCGAAAATAGACAATTAACTGAATGACAATTTGAATTATCGTCATTTACTATTTTAATGTATCTTTGTTCTTGCCTTTGATTATGTAAAAAAGGTTTTCCCGCGCTTCTGTAATACGTCAAGTGTGGCTTTGATTGTTTTGAAATGAAATTATTCACTAGGCTTATTAAGTCAACAAACTTTACCTGGCCCGATGAGTCTAGATTTTTGTTATTAATCATCACTTTGTTAAGAAAAGCATCTATATTAAAAAATTTGCCTGAAAACTGTTTAAAATTGTATTGATCAATTTTAGTGTTTTTCACGTCATAATCAAAGTTTTGGGTGCCTGAAAATAAGTTATAAACCAATGTCGAGCGAATTAAATAATCTATTGCACAAGTATCATTTTTCAGATAGTTTTTGTTTGGCAAGCTGGATTGTATATTTTCAGTTTTTCTTGATAATACAATGAAGTTTGAGTTATTTAATTTAGAGTTGTTTTGAAAGTGCAAATCTTTTTTGTATTCTTTGAAAAAATCAACTAATTTGCGCAAAGCGTTTTGCATCGCTTTAGACTTAAAATCTTTAACAGAGAAATTGATTAGTATTTCTTTTGACGCATAACCATTATTTACAGTATTGAGGCAAGGATTATTTGGAATTGTTGTAGCAATAAACAAGAAAACCAAAGTTCCATTTTCCACAAAAAAATGATTGCGGTTTTCCGGAAATAATGTTATATATAATTTAATTTTCCCTGTCGTATTGATCGTGCTATAAAAATGGGAAGAAATCGTATCAGCTTCATGATTTATGTCATTACTCAGTATCAGATTTGAACTATCTTGAGATAGAATTATTGATTTTGCAATTTTAAGTCTGGCCTCAGAAAAATCGTCTGAATCAAACTGATTGATATAGCTGGACTGAACAAGAAAGTATTTGTCTTCAATCTGTTTTGGTGAAATAAATTTATCAAACTTAAATAAAGTAACATCGAAATTATCTAGATCTTTTTTCAAAACTGCGTCATAAACAAAAAAAAACCATCCCAGCAAACTCCAGAAATTGGATTTCTGCAATACTGGCATTTAATTCACTGAGTTTTGATAGATCACCGTTTTTTGCAACTTTAATTTCAGCAAATTGATTTTCAGCGGAAAAGTAGTACGATATTTTAGTGCTAGTTTTATTGATTTTTCAAATTAGAAAATATTAAGAAATATCTTTGACGCATTGATTGTCTATGTTGTAGCGCAAATTGGTTTTTTTTATATATGTATCATTAATTATGGCATTATGAACGTACTGGCACACTAGGCCCCCTATTATTGCTGCTTCTTCTACGTAGAGATCGCAAAGGAGATCCGGATCCCTGATTTGTGAAATCTCTTCTATGGTAGATTTCAGCAAAACGGGAAAATAACATATGTAAATGTCACTTCCGCGTCGATAATACGTAACGCATTTAGTTTTACTACCGTTTTGGATTAAACTATGTATTTCACTGGTGTACTTTAGAAAGTTATTTACTGAAAAAATAATGACAGAAAAACAATCTGCCACGGGTTGTTTTGGTTCATATAAGGAAGCTTTTTCATCGGTGCCAATTCTGTTCAACCACATCATCAACAGCTCACCTTTGCTCATAGAATCATCAGCGTTCATAAAGATTATCTGGTCATACTTGTCATACGGCTCGACTTTTTCTCCTAAAGAAAAAATTTTCACGCTTGGACCTAGGCAAACGAGGTTTTTCGCAATTTCAAACTCTATTGAATCAGACCCAAAAATCAAACAAGTAGCGCCAATTAAAGCTTTTTGTCCTGTATGACCAAAAATGCGAATTTGTCTATCATAAACTATGTTATCTTTTTCTGCCAAGGGTTTTGTGTCGAGCATTATGTTAATAATGTTCGAAATATTTTTTTTATTTTCAAATTTAGAAAATACAAGTATTAATCAGTTGTCCCATAATTTCAAACATGTACGCATCTGGTTACGGAGTTTTGGATATAAAAAACCGTTTCGGGGCCAGTTTTAAAAAATGCAATTTGAGTACGGAAGAACGACTCAAGTTAATTAAATCAGTGGCTCCAGCCTGCATTACAGAAGCAGATTTAGAAAAGTTGCTGACAAGAGAGGAGTTTCCCATAGCTTACGACGGCTTTGAGCCGTCTGGCAGAATGCACATAGCTCAAGGGTTGCTAAAAGCGATCAAAGTAAAAAGAATCACAGAGGCCGGCTGCGTGTTTGTATTTTGGATTGCTGACTGCTTCGCCGACTTGAACGAGAAAATATCTGGAGACATCAACAAAATTCACACTGTGGCCAAATACTTTCAGCACGTGTGGAGAGCCTTAGGCTTAGACGAGTCGAATATCGTTTACCTATACGCCTCTGAAGAAATAGCGCGCCACGGAGGGGAATACGTAGATCTGCTCATTACATTATCAAAAATGAACACTATTGGAAACATTAAGCGCTGCACAACAATAATGGGACGCACTTCGGGAGATGATCAGAAATCTTCACAAATTCTCTACCCCCTAATGCAAGCTGCCGACATTTTTTACATAGGTGCCAACATTTGCCAGCTCGGTAATGACCAGCACCCCGTCAACATGTTAGCAAGAGAATATGCAAAGAAAAAAGGAATTAACAAGTACGGCAAAAAGATCTACGCACCCGTCATACTTGAGCATGAAATGTTACCAGGACTGTTAGAAGGACAAACAAAAATGAGCAAAAGCAACCCAGACAGCTCAATATTTATGGACGATACCGAAAAAGAAATTCAATCAAAACTTAAAAAAGCTTACTGCCCTGTGGGAATTGTGGAAAACAACCCCATTGTTGCTTACGTACGCATGATTGTTTTTGAAACGCAAGAAGTATTCACAATCGAGCGACCGGAAAAATACGGCGGAAACTTGGAATTCAAGTCGTTTCAAGAATTCGAAACTGCTTACAAGAATGAAGAAGTCCACCCTTGTGACGTCAAATCTGCACTTTGCACGGTTATTAATCAGCTTATAAATCCAGTTCGAGAGTATTTCGCTAATAACGCTGAAGCTATGGATTTACTCAATCAAATCAAAAACTTCCAAAAACAAAAAAAATAATTTTACATTTTAAAAACAGCAATTATATCTAACTAAATTTTTCTTTTCGCTAGCATCTGTATGTAATTGGCCTCTCTTATATCGTTTTTGGTAACAATTATGAAGAACGAAATAAACGTAGCCGAGTATTCTAATTTTATAACTGATATCATTGAAAAAGACCTAAAAAGCGGCGTAGTCAAAAGTGTAAAAACCCGTTTTCCGCCCGAACCCAACGGATATTTACACATTGGGCACGCCAAAGCTTTGTGTTTAAATCAATGGATCGCTCAAAAATACAATGGAACTTGTTCATTACGTTTTGACGATACCAACCCTTTAAACGAAAACGACGAATACATCAACGCCATTTTGGCTGATGTCAAATGGTTGGGCTTTGAGTGCAAAGATCTCGTTTTCAACTCTTCAAATTACTTCGACACACTTGTTAGTTACGCCGAAAAGCTTATAATGAAAGGGTTAGCTTATGTTGACTTTCAATCTGAGGAAGCTGTAAGACTAAACCGGGGAAATATCAAAGAACCTGGCAAAAATTCGCCGTACAGAGACACTTCTGTCGAATCTAACTTAAAGTTTTTTGAGAACATGAAAAAAGGTTTATATAAATCCGGCGAATCTATTTTGAGAGCTAAAATCGACATGTCTGCGGGTAACATGAACATGAGAGACCCCATTCTATACCGAATAATCGACACTCCACACCCTCGAACACACTCTAAGTGGAAAATTTATCCTACCTATGATTTTGCTCACGGCCAATGCGATTCCATCGAAGGAATTACTCATTCAATTTGTACACTAGAGTTTTTCAACCACAGACCGTTGTATAACTGGTTGCAAAAAGAACTTGAAATTCGGCCAAGCCACCAAATTGAGTTTGCTCGTTTCAACCTCACATACACTGTCATGAGCAAGCGAAAACTTTTGGAAATAGTCAATAACAATCTTGTCAATGGCTGGGACGATCCAAGAATGCCAACTCTATCTGGAATGCGCAGAAGAGGATATCCGCCTGAAGCTATCAAGACTTTTGTTTTTAAAATAGGCGTTTCCAAGCGAGAACACTTAATTCAACTTGACAAGCTTGAAAACATCGTTCGTAACTGTCTTGAGAACTCCCCTAAAGTTTTTGCTCTGCATAAACCTGTCAAAGTCACTATATCCAACTACGGCGAGTATGAACAGCTTTCCCAAACCTCTGAAGCCGCTGATTTAATTAAAAACTTCCCTAAATCCATTTACATCGATGCATCCGACTTTTTGTTAAAGCTTACTCCTGATTGGAAGCGACTTTCTCTTGGAACTTCTGTGCGTTTGAAGAATCTGGCTATTGTTGTCTGTGACGAAGTCAGGTTTGATTCCAGCAACAACATTACAGAACTCATTTGCCGCTCAGATTTTAACAACAAGTTGATCGCTGCAAACCTTAATTTGCCTAAACCTATGGTCACTATTCAATGGCTCACGGAAGAAAACTGTGTTCCTGCAAAGATCAACGTATTTTCTTATCTCTTCACAGAAGCAAACATTTCGTGCTTGCCCGAAGGTAAAGACTGGAAAGACTATATTAACAAAAACAGTTTGGTTGTGTACAATGGACTTGCACACAAAGACGTTTGCGACGCTCAACCAGGTACTCACTACCAATTTGAAAGGCTTGGTTACTACATAGTCGATACCAACTCCAGACCCGGAAATCTTGTTTTCAACCAGACAGTCACACTTGTGGACAAAACCCTAGAAAAAAATAATGAACTTATCAGTAAACAAAAAAACGATCATATTCTAGCGCGAAAGCTAGCTGCCAAAAAACGCGAACAAATCAAACTGCAGCGAGAACTTAAAAAAGCTGCTCAACAAGTCTGAAAACGTTGAACGCGGTCTCGGTCAAGCTTCATAACTTATTAAAACCTCCGTTTCCGAGATATAAATAGTCTAAATTGGTTTTTACGTTTATTACTTATGTAAACTAAAATTGATAAATTTTGAATCAAAAACTATCAAACTAAAAAATCATAAAAAACAAACAATGCGAATATTAAGCGGCTAGAAACGGAATAAAAACTTAAGCATTTGTCAATACAGCTTCACGTGCGTTTTTGCCGTGAGAAATGGCAGAACTTTGGAACTCAACGATTTCTATCTCAGAAGAGTACTTGTTTTCTGTCTTAGCTGGTTTAATGATTACCTGGTCTGGTAAAGGAGTAGAAACACCATCAGCACCAGTTGGATCATAAGGAAGCATAATAGTGACACAGAGACCTAGCACACCTTGTTTCATGGAAACGGTTCTAATTGCTTTTTGAATATAGACATTGGCTGGGTTACCTGCTTTAATGAGATATCCGTCAGAGAATTTCATCGTCTTTGCTCTAAGAGAACGAAGCTTTCCAGAAATGATGACTTCACAACCGGTAGCGTTGGCCTCCATTACGTTACGAATAATTCCGTAGCAACTTCTTCGGGCGGGAATACCTTTGAGTAATTTAAATCTCAATGATTCTGCTTGAGCTGTCGCAGACAATGATCGGTTTCTAAGTCTTTCAGTGAGAAGTTCGATTTTACGACCTTCAAAACCAAATCTTTGTACAATAAGAGACTGGAGCTGACGTAAGTTTCTTCCATCTGGTCCTAAAACATCCCGTGGGCGTGTTACCCTTACAATGATGTAAGTTCTGGCAGGGGTGATTCTAATCTCCAAACCAGAATAGCCGCTTTCAGATAATATCTTAGATAGAAACTCATTTACTTCTACTTTGAATATTCCATCGGCAACAGCCTTTTTTCTTCGCGAAATGGCAGACATTTCGACTATATTGGTATACGATGCTAATTTTTAAATTAAAATGAATTATGTTTTTGTCTTTTTTTTCTTGAGATATTAATTTATCCGTAACGCTGTTAACAAACCGCTAATATAATTTCAGCATATAATTCTTTAATGTTTGTTTACAAAAAAACTTAGCATTGATTCTAAGCTTTCGAATATATTTTTTATTGATAATTATCGTGCAGGCATTTTTGGTTATTTTAAAAATATAAAATAAATCTAGGTTCGGCTAAACGTAATAGTTTTGATTTTGATTGAACTCTTTTTGTAATTTGTTTATGTCCTTGTATCTCCCTTTATCTACCATAGAAGGAGAGAAACTGTTCATACAGTTTCTTTCTGAGCACGGGCTAATTAGCTTTTCGTCCTTTTTTAGTGAATTAGGCGTCAGAACACTCTCCGTTGGTTTTCTGAAAGGACTAGTGAATCCGTAGTTATTCATTATGTTGACTGCGTTTTCGTTGCTCGAATTGATAGTGTACATCTGGTGGTTGTTAATGAAATTGCTCGATGCAAGACTAATGTCATGAATGTTGCCTCTGCTATGTTCTATAGAAGCTTCTGATTCAAACACAGAGTCAGGTATATACACGCCCAAATCTGTTATTTCATTAATTTTTTGCTTAAAATTGTCTATGCTTTGGTTCAACACAGAAGCTGTTGGTTGTGGTGTAAGTTGCCACAAGAGAGTAAAGTTTCTCTTTAGTTTTCTCGAACATACAAAAGCGCAGTACGCTATCACAAATTCCATAGTAAGACACAATATGCAATACACTATATCCACGCTGACCAAACCGATTGAATGTTGGATAGATGTACTAATAGTTATTATTCCCAGAATAAACGGGCTAATCACATGAACTAAAGAGTTCAGTTGCAACAATACCAAGTCTGGTTTATAGAGAGTCCATATCGACACAATGGTAGGCACGATTGCACCAATAAATAAGCCGGTTTGTTTTCCAAGAGCACAGACAATAGCCGTGGAAATTTCACACCCTATTAAAACTATATAAAACAAATCCTCTGCATAACTTGCGTCTTTAATACCGGGCATAGCATATATATTACTAATAAAACACGTGTGCTAAAAGATCAACATTACGCGCAATATTATTAAATTGATAGGTAAAATCTAATATACAAACAATAAGCAACTTAGCCTATAAATAAAAAAGTATTACACATCTAACACTAAAAAACTTTTATAAATCTATTCACATGAAAAAGTTTTGTCAGACATTCTTTTGAGCTCCGCAATAACCCTTGTTTAGCATGCTTGTATTATTGCATGTAGAAACTGCACCAAACTTCTATAATTATGGGAAATACTTGTGGACGTAATAAAAATCATAACCCGCCAGAACTATTACAGCCAAATCCTAAAAGAAAGGAGTACAACCCCCCTGTATTAGCGGATCAGGCAGCAAATCCGGAATTTCAAGATGTAAATAATTCCTACAATCAAATAATCGGCGATAACACCGGCAATCTCAACAAAATTGATTCTCTAAAACAAAATCTAAAAGATTTAACGATAGAACATGATAAGCTTTCAGAAGAAGTTGAACAATTGATTACTTCGACGAACAATTCAGTTCCCTCCCATGTCATAGATGAACAGAGTGGAATTGAAAAACGCCAACTAGACGTCATGACGAAGACGAATACGTTTATTACAAACATACTTGCCGAAAGTCCCGCTGATGAAGCCAAATACGAAAATTTAGAAAGCGAAATTCTCTGTGAAGTAATTAAAATAGAAGATGAAATTTCAAACCTAAAGAAAAATAATGAAGCCGTTGAGCCAAACGGTGTTTCCAAAAAAAATGAAGAATTACACCGTCTGGCTCACGTTATTGCTCAATATAGGCCTATCAGCAAGCCGCAAAATCTAAGTGAACTGTTCAAACAATTAAAAATTGATTGTGCTGAAGGTACTTCCCAAACTATACACAATATCAAAGCTCTTATTCATCATATTAAAACGGGTGACAAATCTAACTACGTCAGCAAGCCCATGCGAGGGCTCGTGTATCAAGCTCTCAAGATGGGAGACATTCCACACGACAAATGGAGTTGTGAACTTTGTCTCGCACTCGATCCCTCTGATACCCCTTTACTAACCTAATTTTACCAGCTAAAAAATTGTATCGTTGATTAATATTAACTTTTCTTACAAGTTACTAATTAGTTATTAGCAGATAAGACACAAAACATTTTAAATGTAGATTTTATTTATAAACTTTATACTTATTAAATTTACGAAGCTCAATTTAGTCAGCTGTTGATGATTATAGTGAGAGTTTCGTTTTAATTTATCGTAACTCCCGAGGTTCAGAAAAAATGAATCCAAATTAAAAATACATTCGCAAATAATTTAGGTTCATAAAAAACATCTTTTCTCTAATTGTAAAAAGTTTATAACTTTGTTTTAATTGAATGTCTAGTAGTTTGACCACGCTTTTAGCGGGCATAAAATGTGAGAAAAGCTTTACACGCTTGCTAAACGAAAAAACTGAAAACAGCAACTCATCGCCTGCTGAATACAAAATTTTGACAATTAAGAATAATCAATTAATCTCTACTTCGTTTCGTCTCGATTCTTTTGACACGTGTGCTTTGAGTTGTTTAGATGATACCAGCAAGCATATCCCGTCAGAAGTGGTGGATATATTAAAAAACTATTTTAATTTTACAGCACTCACAGATACACAAAAAGTAGCCATCCCTTTTTCCTTAGCTTGCGACAAATTTACTTGCATTGCTAAGACAGGTTCAGGCAAAACACTAGCCTACATACTACCCATAATTTCTTTACTGTTGAAAGAAGAAAATAAAGGCAAAAATGCCTTAATTTTAGCGCCAACAAAAGACTTAGTTACTCAAATATACAGAATGTGTACAGCACTTGTAAAGCCTCTAGCGGAAATAAATGTGGCTTCATCGTCAAAAAGTTCTGAAAAAACAATACTAAATAGCCGAATTTTTGTTTCAACATCCGGATATATAAATTCTGAGAATCTAAAATGTTTTGCTCCATGGTTATATGCCGTGGCTATTTTAGTAATGGATGAATTTGATTCGCTAATCGTAGGAGATTATGATTTGCAAACAAAGTTTATAATATCATCTTTTATCAACTCGGTGAAAAAAATTTGGCTGTACAGCGCATCAATTCTGGGATCAGCCATCGACAGAATTGCAGAAATAACGTGCAACGGTCCTTTGATGAAAATAGGCAAGGGGGTCGAGATACCTGAACAAATACATCAGGAATTTATCTATGTAACAAACGAAAAAAACAAGTTTGTAGCATTAAATCAACTCATATCAGACCGCAAGTTAATTCCTCCGATTTTGGTTTTTGTAGAAGACAAACACAGATGTGAAGCTGTTGCCAAGAAAATCAGCACGTTAGGAATTGTTACAAAAGCGATCAGTTCAAAATACACGACGGAACAGCGACAACTAATTTTAGACAATTTCCGAGCAGGAAGGATTTGGTGTCTTGTTTCCACCGACGTGATGGCGCGAGGTATTGACTGTTTTGGTATTAAGACCATCCTAAACTTTGACATTCCACAGTCTCGAGATTGCTATATTCATAGAGTTGGTAGAACAGGCAGAGGAGATTACAAAGGATCAGCAATTACGTTTTATACAGAACAAGATAAAATGAAACTGAGGATTTTCCGCAGCATATTACTAAAAAATAACACGGAACTGCCTGATGACATTAAATTCGCACCAATTATAGATCTTAATGATAAAAAACGCTTTACAAAGCGTCCTAACATAAACGACAGTCAGGTAAGTTCGACCAAGCTCGTTCTAAAAACAAAAAAAAATTCAAAGAAATTCAAAAATAAGCAAAAACCTGGAAACAAATTCTCTAAGAAGCAAGGTTGACTTGGGATATTAGCGCGGATTATTTCTAAATCTAATCAAACTATTCATATTTCGCGCAAATCAGTTTCTTTATTTAATGTCTCTTCTTCTTCGTCGGAACTAGAGTCGGATTCGTCGTTTTCGGAATCTGATTCAGACTCTGAATCGGATTCTTCGTCGTTAGAATCTTCTGAATTAGAATCGGCTTCTTCTTCATCATCTTCATTCAAGATGTATCTGTCGTCTGATTTACTCTTTATTATAAAATCTCCAAATTGCGAGAACGAACCTTCAGGAACGCTCGTCATAGATTCTTCAATTTTTTTAATGATTTTTTTAAGATTTTCAATTGCATATGCTTTGTCGTTGGAAGTGATGGACAAGACGTAAATGGGCGCAGCTATTAGCTGAATTTCCAGAGAAAAGAGGTTTGGATCTAGTTTAGCGGCCTCTTCCTCAGCGGTCAGCAAAGCTCGTTTCACAGCTAAAACACCTTCAAATGAATAACAACTTATGCTTACTTGGCATCTTATGTTGACTTGCATTGAGGCTATCCATTGAGAAACCACGCTCGATATGGCAGTTTTGATCTCATCCGACATATCTAAATCTCTAAAAACGGGTTCAGGATCTTCATGAGATTTGAGAAAAGCTTCGTACGCGCTGCCGTATTTCTTGTAAAGCGGCCATACTATCTTCTTAAGAAGCTCTTCTAAAGAAATTCCGTGTTCGTTCGCGATCTGCATCATCATCACGTGTACCTTCTTAGCTTTGGCGTAGCGGTCCAAAGCAATTGCCACATCCTTGTTGGAAACACGCTTTTTAGATAAATCAATGTATCTTTTTTTTTCGTCAACCTTAATTACAGCCGCGACTTCTTGGTGTCCAACACGCACGAGTTTCAAAATACTACGGTAACGTCTCTTAGAAAGTTCGTTCGGTAAAATCAATCCTTCTAAGTCTCCATATTCTAACAAAGTTACATACACTCCGGTGTTGTCTTTACGGCATACAACTTTTACAACAACGTAGCTTCCTACTTCAGGAAACTCGTTTTCATAGAAACGTTGAATTTGCATCTGCATAGATAAAATTTAGAAATGAAATTAACAAAAAAAAATGCAGAGACTAGTAAACTAAATCCTTATTTTATATTACCTAGAAAACCATTTTAAACAGCGCAAAATATTCCCAAGCTTATTAAACAGTCGTTTTTTTGTATATTCGTTATACATGCAACTAAAAAATTACATTAATTATAATGTTTGAAAACCCATTAAAGTTTTCGAAAATTTTGTTAACATTATTTGAAATTTACTATTATGAAACAAAATAGAACTTTATGAGCATTAAAAATGAAGCCTTAAAAAATGATCTTATCGTCGTTTTATCTCTCTTGCGCAGTTTGGGCTGTTTTGGCCTGACAATCAATAGTGTGATGCGTAGCTATTCTGTCTATATACTTAGAGAAATATCTTCCAACACTACTAATGTCAAGGAATTTCTAAAACAATTCGCATTTCGTGAACTGGAGATTCTACGTAATCTTTTATCAAATTTTTCTAACCCTGAGCATATAGATGAGATCGTTTCCATACTTCTGACCGAACAAGACGATTTAGAATTGATGTGGGAATTTCTCCAGTCAATAAATCAAACTTATTTGTTTGGTTTAGTTGTTCCATTTTATCACTCTAAATTTTCACTAACATCAACAGATTCAACTATAGTAAAACTTAGCGTTCTCATTGATAATTTCCCACGTATTTTGGCAATCAAAAATGAACTAGAAACAATAGCGAGTCTAATTATTGTAAAAACTACCAATTCTCTGGGAGACTACACGTTGGGGCAAAGTTTGTTACGAAGCATCAAGAACAAAAAGCTTCGATACATCGAGTCCATAATAATCAGAAAAAACGTGCCTACCATACTGAAAAAACTTATTGTCTGTCACGAACTTGTCCACTGCAGTTTGTGGTTCTCAAAACCGTTTTTGTTGACAGGTCATTCAAAAATTGAAGAAATTTTGTGTCACGTCGTAATGGACCAATATGCTGTTTCATTGTTGCCAGAACTTTCTGAGCGCAACAAAAAAATCGTTGAATTCCGAAGAAAGATGTGTGAAAGCGAAGCCAAATCCATAGACGCTCAACTATGGGAAGAATGGTACGGCCTTGCTGAGAAAAGACAATTCAGCCATGCAATTGATAAATATCGAGCCGGCTTAATTAGTGGAATATACTGAATCAAAAGAAAATCAGTTGTTTACATTTTAGACAAGTCAAACCTAGTTTCGCTTGAAACGTCGGCTTGCAAATGTTGAATTGCTGCTTCAGCACTTCCAAATTTTTCAATCGCAGCATCCAATTGCTCGTTTCCACCCAGCAGGCGCTGATTTATATAAATTTGCGGGAACGAGTTGTACGTATAAAGAACTTTAATTCTGGAACGGACAGCTGGACTTTCGAACACGTTGAATACTGTAAAATCACACGTAATACCTTCCAGTTTTTTTAACAATTGTTTGCTATATTTACAGTAAGGTTTGGCTTTAGAACCTTTCATAAAAATAATGAAAGGCGAGATATTAATTAATTCAGTTATCATATTGTCGGTTTTCTCCGTAGCTTTCTGCAATTCGGCTTTAACTTCTTTAAAAGCGTACAAGTTGTCCCAAGAAACAGCGCCAATAATTGTTTGATTCTTCAAAAGTGCAACAAACTTATCAGAACACTTGTGCTTACATTTGATGAACAAAGCAACTTCTTCGGATTTAATTACAGCTGCACAAACAAATCTCTCGTCGACTTCGTTGTCGTCAGAAATGACAATAATGCTCGACTTTGACAAAATATCTTCAATGTGCTTTTCAATAGTTTCTACTGCTTTTTGAACTCGCAATTTCAAATTGTTTTTCTCGTCTTTTTCAACTGGCAATGAAAAATTATTTTCGTTACAGACTTCTTGTGTATATTCATGGGAATCAGAGCTGACAATGGTCTTAGTGATATATGAATCTTTCACGAACCAAAGTGTAGGAATGCACAACACATGTAACTCTTCAATTGATTGTTTAAACCTATCCACATTTAAACACAACAAATTTATTGATTTCCGTTTGCTCAGTATTTCAACAACTTTTTTTATGTGTTCGCTTTGTTCAACTACGCTGCAATAAAAATAAATTAACCCGGTGTACTGATTTTTATCTAAAATAGATAAAAGCTCAGTTACATGAGCCACATCACTAATCATTTAGATAACACAAAGCCTATTATTTATTAAATTATAAAATTAATTATAAGAACAGTTGTTACAATTGCGTCTTTCAGGTTGATTGATAAACAAATTTTTTATGCTGTACACTTTACTATAGTATCTATGAGCGATAACCTGCGTCTAAAAATCATAACTTCATATTCATTGTTTTTTGTTTCATAAATATGCTGGGAAAGCGCTTCCGACCCAGCAGGGAGCACCCATTTTGGCCTTGTATAATCTCTCGCTACGGCATTCATTACGTCATTAACTTGTCGAAAAAAATTTTTACTATAAGTTACAACATTGCCAAACATTAACTTAAAATCGCCAATAAACGAAACGTAGTTATCGTAGTTTTGCATTGCTGTATTTTCTACTTTAATTATTTCGTTTCAATTCTTACACTCTAATTCTTTTATTACAACTTGCATGTGAAGAGTAATGAGTCCATCACATTTATTCTTAGAAAGAATAAGTTATACGAAATAAGCATGTTTCAATGCTTTCAACACCGCTACACGCATTTTATGAGGTGAGTAAAAACTTTCAACCGCTGACCAACTCAGTTTCTCGTTCGATACTAATTTTTGCGCTATTTTAGATGGTTTTTCTTTTGCTGAAAACGGGGATACAGGCGACATAGTTTGCGGGGCCATGGTTAGTTTGAAACCTTTTGTGTGTCCAAAACAGTGATAAGTGTATAAAAACAAAAATGAATCAAATGTAAACAGTAGAACAAAGTACAGCGGCATTACGCCGACAACATTTGAATCTCTGATAGGTATTTTGAAGCCGTTCTGCATCATAGATTTTAATGACGAAGGTAAGTTAAAAGGTAACTGAACTACAGCAAAGTTTTTGTAATAATAGCTATACAAATACGCCAAAAATCCGTTAGAAACTACAAAACCCAACGAATTTTTTATCATTCCAAACGATTGGAAAATGTTCGGTTGGATTTGCATACTTTTATCTGATACATTTTGGGCAGAGTCTAAAACTCCTTTTTCGTCGTGTCTTCCCACGTAATATAAGTATCTAAGCTTTGCGTGAGGCTCGCTAAGAAACTTGATATTTGTTCGCAAAGCGGCACTGAGGTTAAGTACATGTTGCAATTTTTCCAAACAAAAGTACTGGTGTGTTGTCGGTGTATAAAATTGAAACTCTGATTGCTTTAATCTATGGAAAGCAACACGGATGCATGCCACAAATAATGTTATTAAAAGAATCGGGACCAGAACGAAAACAATACACTCTCCTGAAATATCCATTTGTTTTTTGATTTTGAATTTTGGAAAAACTTTCTTCTGTTGGTATGTAAAATTATGAAATAAAAACTATTTTAAAAACTGCGAATGCCTAACCATAAATATGCAATTAAACACGTGATTCACAGTTTAGTTGACAATATTTTTCAGAGCGAAAATACGACTCCGAAAAAAAATGGTTTTCTAGGAAAAAGTGTGAATAATGATTACAACGACAGAGTTGCTTCTTTAATTCAAAACTTAAATGAACCTGATGCTGATTCGGCAGAGTCCGTTTCGGACGACAATCAATCATTAATTAAACGAATCATCAATAAACGAAATAAATTAAGCGCAATAAATTCAACCAATGAAGAATCATTATTCGCCTCATCATTTTCGAACGCGAATTCTTCACGTTCCAGAGCTTCCTACCCCGCTTTTGTGAATTTTGAAGACACTGAGAACGATGCTTATTTTAAACTCAGCCGGACGCCAAGAAGAACACGGAGTATCAATTTTTTTGATTCTTCTGCGCAATATTCAAATGACTCGGATCGGCAAATTGAAAACTTGGTGAACAAAATTACCAATTACTATAACGACGAGTCTCCCGTAATAACTAAAAAGAAAACGGATTTTAACAGATCAAAGTCACCTGTGAGTCCAATACGCAAAATACTAAATTCGATATTAATTGAAGATGATCAAACGCAAAATAACACACGACAGAATCACACCAAAAAAACTCTCGATGCTGATTTTTTCTTAAAAAAATCAAACTTACGTGAGTGGAGAGGTAGTTTTGGGCCTGACAACTCGCATCATAAAATTGATCTCGAACAGAAAAACGAGGAAGATTTGTCTTTATTACTGTCTCATCTATCTCACAAATTCGGTAATAGGGAAAGCTACAGAAATGAAATTAGAAAATATTGTGAAAATTTGAGCAACAATTATTCTCGCCCGTCAGACAAAAACTTTCATTCAATTAACAAGGAGCAAACGCCCGTTAATGGTTTCTTAAACGAGAATCGCGAAGCCGATGACGGGTTTTTTGCCAATTTCGGTTCTGAAAAAAATGATATTAACGGCGATGTGCTCGACTCGCTAATTGATACTTTTAAATCTCGTAGCGTTAAGAAGGTTAACTCGAACAGAACTAGTTACAATCGAAGCGACTCTGCTTCCGTTGATATAGAAAACAATGTTTCAGAGCGAGACTACTCTAGTTTTGATTTATCTAACTTACTTAAAAATGGCTTGTTTAAAAAGTCCAGAGGCGATGAAAAAAATATTTCAATTACGGTTCCACATCTCAACTCAAAAAATCTGTCTGAAGCCAATCCAAAATTATTAAATAATCAAATTCAGTCGGAAACACAGCCCATTATCACTTATTCTCCGAAGCCTGATATCAAGGTTAACGTCAATATCAAAGATTCTATCTTACTTGTAGAGCATGATACGTATTACCGAACGCAAGAAAAAGGACAATCTCAATTGTTTGATGTTCAGCAAACAAAACCAGAATTAGACATATCTAAATTAGAAACAATAACGATTGTTCCTCAACTGGAATTAGTAGACATCAATTCAGCGTTAAAACATACTAAGTCACTAACTGACAAGCACGAGGAAAGTGGCGGTACAGACCACGAAGACAATTCTTTCACCACCGCAGCAAAGCCAGAAGCGATTGGTAATAAGTTTCAAATTGCAAACGATGTTCACGAAATAGTCGACAGTTATGAAGTGTGTGAAAATACTGATGGAAATTTCGATTTAGAGGTCAACACAACGCCAGCTCAAACAGTGAAATCAACAGTTCTACCAATAGAACAGACTCACTCGCCAATTCAACAAACTGAATTTGAATTAATTTCGGTTGAAAACTCTCCAACTCAATATTATGATGAAGTAGATTTTCAGACACCAAAAGATCGCTCTTCTCAAATTCAAAATTTAGCGGAAAAACTTGACGAGTTCGCAGCGAATCTCGGTCATCAAAGTTTCAACGAATTGGCCAATGAAATAACGTTACCCGTTACGATGAAAAATGCATCGCAGTCGGAAAAACTTAAATCAAAGTCTGACAATCCTACTTCTAATGTAGATAGAAATTCCGTTTTCAAAACTGGCAAACTTGGTCACTCTGAAATTAAAGCGATTGAACCAACCAAAAAGAATATAAAGCGTTCAGACAGCACATTTGGCGCAGATGAAAACGACATTAAGGAGAATGCTGAAGAATCATTATCACTTGAAGACAGCGAGAATTTTTCGCATGATTCGTCACTTGTAGATGACGTTGATTTGGATGCGCGTCAGCTGGAATCAGAGTCGTCAGCTGAAGAACAGGTAAACGAAAACACACAACTAATTTCGCGGGATTCTATATTTGAAGTTAGCGAAAGTGAAGAATTGAATACCGACGAAGACGTTTTGAGCAATGTGGTAAACTCATCAGAAGAAGACGAGGACGAAATCGTAGAATATGGGATGTTTTTAGATTTAGACGAAGATGAGTCGCGACCTATAAAGAAGGCTGCTCCGCGTAAGCCTGCTCGCCGAAAAATCTTTCAAGCTTACGAACACTATCCAGCTTTGGACAGTTCAGACTATCACAGTCAGGCGTCCCACCCAACAAAAAACCAGCTTGTTTTCGTAAATCAAAACGACAAAACTTTGTCTTTAGTGAATAAACGTCGCAGACGAACGAAAGAACAGATCAAGTTAAAGCGAATCTCGATAAAACCTGCTGATGCGGTCATGTCAGAAGAACCGGCTTTGATTTTCAAACCCCATAAAAGAACGAAAATACCGCCGCTCAAATGGTGGGAAGGCGAGAGAATTCAATACGTTTCTGTTACTGGAGAAGTGTCAAACCTTCGCGCAGCAGCCATTTATAAAGTTGAGGATCCCGAGGAAGACGAGACTCAAAATGGTCAGCTCGTGGGCCAAAACCTCTACGTTTCAAACGCGAAGAACCAAGCTGATAACACGAATCAAAATTGTTTTTATGTGGCACCAGCACCAGGCACAGACACCCAGCTCGTGGTAAAGGTACTTGATCCTCCTTTCACACAGGATAATAGGGATCCGGCCCGCAAGCTTGAGCCAGTGCTTCAGCACCCCTTAGCTCAAGATGTTGCGGAGATCGCCGACGACATAAAAAATTTCGGAACCGTGGACGTTCGACTGTCTTTGCTAGAAAACGAAGCTGAGTTTCAGCACATCAACAGTCTGGACAACAACTCCAACAATTACTACTATTTCATCGACGAAAAACAACCTTACAGCCAGCCCGCCATCTGCATCGAAGACTCGTATGTCCAACCCAAAGAAAATGTCTCCATGAACTACTACAACTACAACCCCCCAGACGTGAACGAAGAATCAAGGCTGAACAACTATCTTTCCGTGCCGTCGGCCAACTTATTAGACGGTTACAACCAAGAGCTCTACTTCCAGGAAAATCTCAAAGAAAACTCTTCCCACTTGAATTCCAGAGAATACGACCAGCACATTAAGTCCATCAACTACAACACAAAGTTTCTAACTTTTTCACAGGACTCCTCGTTTTTCGATTGCGCCATGCGCAGGCAGACCACAAGTTTCATGGTTGACAAACAGGGACGGCGCTTCTTGGTTTCACAGTACCGGCCAGACGAGTGGTACGACTTCGAGTCGTCGGAGTCGGTGTACCGAATCAAAATTTTGTTCCAATCAGCTAATTTAACTTCGCTCTTAATCACACTAGTTGGCAAGGAGTCGAAAGGGTTGGAAAAAACACAAGACACGTGTATTATCATTTCAAATATAGAGGGAAAATCGATATGCATAAATTACCAAGAGACTCGGTCTCTGATAAACGACAATAGCCTATGGAAAGAAAAAATTCTCCATAAAAACGAAATATGCATGATACCGAGCCACTGCGAGTACAACATTAGAAATCTCTCCGTACAGGTTGTAACGATTTCTCTTTGCATTTACGCGGACAAAGAAGAAACAGGGGCCTAGCTATTCTGACTCTTCTTTGCTTTCGGCGTCAGTTTTGTCGTTTTGGTTCATTAAAATGTTTTCCAAGATTTCTCGCTGTTTGTTTGGATTTTTAAAAATCAGGTCAAACGAGTCGAGTGGTAAATCGTCCATCTTGATCACTTCGTAAGCATAACCCTGGTCAATAATGTACTGCTGACGTTTATCTGCATACATAATTTCTGGCGTGTCTTGCGAAGCGAGACTGTAGAAGAAAGCATTATAACTTTCAGAGTTTAAGGTGTTTTTTTTAGGACGCAAAATTCGGCCCAAACGCTGCGTCTCCTGTCTTCTGGACGCATAATTAAATGCGATTTGAATGACTACGTTAGCCGAGGGTATGTCAATGGCGTTATCTCCTACTTTAGACAAAAAAATTGTATTGATTTTCGGATCGTTTTTGAATTTTTCTATAATCATTATTCTTTCGTTGTACATGACATCTCCACTCAAGAATGGGCGGTTCAAAGTGATCGCCACTTCTTTCAGCGCCATCAAATAGTCGCTAAACACAATGATTTTATCCCCTCGTTGCTCGTGAAACTTAATTAAATATTCGCAGACGCAGAGTTTGTTTGGGTTGCACGTCCATAACTTGCGTCTGACGTCGTTGGACGACTTTTTCTGATTTGAATACATGCCAGCGTTCTTTTTAAGCACGATAAAAGCTCTGTAAAATTCAAACGTCATGGGACACCAAATTTCAGAGCATTTCGCACGTGCCAAGTACTGGTTCTTCTGCAACTCTTGCCAGTTAGCCTCGTCCAACTTAGGCCCGATCATCCACTGCAGATCGTCAATCAAGTTGTCTTCACGCACTAGCGTCGCAGTCAACCCTAGTTTGCAGTGACTACGACACAGTTTGGTAACTCGGCGAAATGCAGGCGCGGGCGCGAACTGCACTTCGTCAAATATCAGTAAGCCCCAATCCCTTTTACGAATTTGGTCCATAATCTCTTCCGCGGCGATACTACGTTTGCCGCTGAAACTGATCATGGTGTACGTCGTGCACACGACACAAGCTGACTCTGGCAGCTTCGACTTGATGTCAGATGTGAGAAGTACGATCTTGTCGAGGTCAACTGTTGTAAAATTTATAAAATTGTCCTTCCACTGCTGAACAGCTACACTGTTTGACGTTAAAATCAACGTCGATTTTTTAATTTCAACACACGCTGCAATACCTGTCAAAGTCTTTCCGGCACCGCACGGAAGCACAATAATCCCACTGCGAGCGCAACCACTCTGAAACATTTTTGAGAGAGCGCGTTGCTGGTAGTACCTCACTCTCGTGGTTTGTTTTAGCTTAATGTCTAATGTGGGGTTTTGGAAATCATTATTGTAGTCGTATTCTGTCAGCAGCGGTCGGTTCAGTTCGTGCAGTGCCGCTTCCTGGATGGCACCTACATAGCTGCTTTTTATTTCGAAACTGTAAACCTTACGGATGAACGTGTTGTTCACAACGTGCTTGACTGAATTGTCGTTTTCATCTTTTTTTTCTTCTTGTCCAGGCTCATTATCCAGCTTATTTAACATTTTTTTTATTTGCCAAACGGGATCGCAAAAATTCTCATGATTATCGGGATTGAAAAATATATCTTTGGTTGTGTTTTCGTCTATTTTTTCCAATCCACTATCGGAATATTTCATCTGTTCTTCACGAACTTTTAGAGAGTCTTCGACACGCGCCGCACACACTGTAGAATGTTTTAGCAACAACTCGATTTCGTCTTTGTAGTAACTTTCAATAATATATTTTTTATTTTTTAGAATCAGGCGAAACTTTCCAAACGAATCACCTAACCGTTCAATTTGCCGTAAAAAAGATTTCGATAGTTCATTATATGCGTATTCCGTCAATTTTTTTAAAATTGTGTAGCTCGTTATTCCCTTTGCCATCGCGGAATATAGACTAAAAATAGTCAACTGGTATTCATGAATGAAAACAGGTCTGCTGACAGGCTCCGTGATTTCGATTAAAAAAAGCTCTACTTCTTGAGCAATAGGTAACCGGGCTTCCAATAGTATAAATCCATTGTTAAATATATAAATACAGGACTTTTCATTGGCCTTCGTAATAAAACAGTCAAAAAATTTTGGATTTCTTTCGACATTTAAAGTGTCTGTAATCAGACAATTATTATTTTTAGTAAGTGGAATTGAAAAGTCGTTGTCATACTTAGCATCACTGTGTTTTTTCAAATATTCTTCATTATTTTTCATTAAAACAAGTTTTCTATATTTTCAATTTAAAAAATATTTAAAAATATTTATAAATAAAAAAAACTCGCTTTTTCGAAAGTGCAATATGTTAATATTACAATTTATTTATGATTATTTAAATAATAATTATTTAATTTATGATTGCATATAAATATTTTGTAAATAAATTATAAAATGACCAAGATTAGCTCTATTCTCAGTCTTATTGTTGTGCCTCTAGCATTTGCTTTAAATATGGGGGATGTTAGTTCACAGAACTACACTCTCGACGCAAACGATTACGTTTATGAAACCGCCGTAAACGAAGTTGAACAGCCTTTAGATAAGTTTGAAAGACGCACGATCGGTGTATATAGATCTGTTAAAGCCGTATATAGCAATTTTGTCGATTCAATTTCGTTAAAACTAGGGGAAAACGTTACTTCTAGGCTTAGAAAGAAAGGAAAGCTAATCAAGAATGAAATAGTAAATCATTTGACTCCAAGAACCATCATTATGAAAATTAACAATAACTGTTCCTTATGTGAAACAGTTACGTTTTACCTAAGCAAAGTAGGCAAAGTTGTGAATACTGCTTCTGCGCCTTTGTTGAAATTTTTGAAAACTCGAGCGGACGCCAACATCGAAAAGCTAACTAAAAAGGATCCAACTTTGAAGAAGTTCTTTTCTGGTGACGATAAATACATGAACCTGATTTTTGTGGTTATCACACTGGCTGTATTGCTCGAAATTTTAGATGTTTTGTTCTCGAAAATAAAAAAATGTTGTTTTTCTTGCTGCTCATCTAAAAAATTGTCCTATCAGTGTTCGAAAGGTAAAAAACAAGATTCCGGTATCCTGACATCCGAGAACCATTCGAAAATGTGTAATAGTACGTCAGCAAGCCAACCTATTCGTAAATTTGATTATAATGGGGGGCACGAACCCACTCAAAGACACTCTAGCCATCGCGCTTCTGTAATGTAATTAGACAAATTCTACTTTAAGTTTCTTTTTCATAAAGTTGTTTTTTTGAATTAAAGCGGATGGATTTTACGTTATAATATGTAGTTAATCTATTTATCTATATTTTCTGTGTAAAAATTATAGTAGTTTCAGAGAGCCGCACACTTGATTGACCAAACTAGTTTTGGCAGGTCCGATTGCAGCTACTGTCAAAGACCCTGATTTAATTTGAGTTCGTCCTGCGTCTGAAATGGTGATGCAGGGAATATTCATACTTTGTGCTGACTTTTTAAGAGAATGTAGTTCTTCCAAACTTCCGATTTTTACAACAACTTTCGTTTGACCTTCGTTGAGCCATTGTTTTGTAGCCAGCGTGGTTCGGGTCTTTCGATACGCTTCAACTGCTGCGTGTGCACATTGAGAAGCAATTTTTCCTTTGCCCATGTTTAAGTCAGTCCTGACTGCGAGAACTAATTTAATCGACTCGCCATTAGTTGAACTTGGAGGATTCAGCTTTGGTAAGTTGATTTTTTTCAGGGGCGAAATCAGCTTTTTAATAATAGACCCAGTCATAAAAATTAAAAAATAAAAAATAAAAAAATGACAAGGATGGGATTCGAACCCATGCCCTTACGGACTGCGGCCTTAACACAGCGCCTTAGGCCACTCGGCCACCTTGCCAACATATAGAATCAATATTTTAACGATTATCGTTTCAATTCGCGAATATAATTATAATCAAATTAGAAATTTTTAAGTTAATTATACTAGAATAAAAATGACTGATAACCTAACTAACGAACAAATTGCCGAGTTCAGAGAAGCTTTCACGTTGTTTGACGTCACAGGTACGGGATCAATCTCTACTAAAGATCTCGGAACCGTCATGAGGGCTTTGGGCCAGTGTCCAACGGAAGCTGAGCTCAACGAATTAATGAATGATGTCGAAAGTAACAATTCTGGAGTTATAGATTTTAAAGATTTTTTGCAACTCATGGTCCGTAAAATGAAAGAAACTGACACAGAAGAAGAACTAATAGAAGCTTTTCAGGTGTTCGATCGCGAAGGTAACGGATATATCAGCGCGCAGGAATTAAGACATGTCATGACTCAATTAGGTGAACGATTGACTCCGGAAGAAGCTGATCTCATGATTGCGGAAGCCGATATTAATCAAGATGGATTAATAAACTATGAAGAATTTGTTAAGATGATGTTAGCCAAATAATTACAATTACAAATAGTTATGAGTTTTTGCAATGCGCCTTGATTACAAATGCCTGAAATTTATATTTCATAATTGATATCGCGAGGATCAATCGGGTTGGGGCTAGTATTATTATTGGGCAGAATGTACTTGGTTTTACTATAGTGGTCAGGCAAATATTTGGACGCGTAATTGGTTTGATCGTAATGTAATTCAGCGTTGCTGTAGTAATGCTCTTTAGGATACGACAAGGATTGGTGGATAAAACTTGGTTGCGTTTCAATATTGTGCTGAACCCCATAAGGGTTCGTCTCAAAAACAGGAAAATCGTTTCTTAGGTTTGTAAAAGTCATCTCATTAGGCAATTGTTTTTGGTCGAACCCACAAAATACTTTCATTAACGAAATTGTATTCTGCGATGAAAAAACCGGTTTCTCCGGTTCGTGTTTGGTTACGGTCCGCCTCGTTGGTTGTACAGAAACTTTTGGTTTTGTATGCGTGTTCGCAGTGTAGTTCTCGTTGTTCTTAGATTCGATTATTGATTCAAATTTATTTATAACTGAATCAGAAACTAACTCGAACGCTTTGCTTATTCCGTTCAAGGATGCGTTAATAACTTTCTTTTTAATATCATTAGTTTTTTTCTTATGTTTTTTTTGATTTCTAGTAACATTTTCTAACGATGAGGCGACAGAATTTTTGTCTGTTTTTCTTTCAGTTTGCGTGATTGACGCCTTTGTAGGCCGGGAAACTGCTGGTTTATGTTCAATTTTAACTGCGTTTTCATAGTTAGCTTTAGATTTCGGCCTAGGAGGTTGATCAGGTTTTTGATTATTTATCAATGGTAATTGAACGGAGATTTCTGGTTTATTGTTTTCTTCCATCATGATGTTGGCTGTATGCCTATTAATGGAAAAATTATTTTCTACTATATTTTTGTTTGAAGCTTTATTGTTGCTTGGATCGATAAATTCGTAGCTATTCTTGACGCTATTTATGGGATTTATAATTATGTTTTTATTTTTCGGTGAAATTAGTATAGTGTTTACGCTCAAATTGCTAGAATGCGTATTTTTGTTATTGCTCGTGTCAATGATGTTTGAATCGAATTTTGCTGCGGAAGCAAGTCTAAAGTTCGATAAAAACTTTTCTTGTAACTTATGTACTTGATTGATAAACTTATCTTTGTTGCTTAAAACAGTGTCGCAAATTTCATCGGAATTTCCATTTTCTAAACTTAAACGTTCTTTTTCGATCGGCAAGGCTTGATTTTTAGTAAAAAGATCATTTTTAGTTTCTGTTTTGTTGGTAAGAAACTTTTGTGAGTTAGTGAAATAAGCTGTCGAAAATTCAAACATTTCTGGGAAATTGTATTTTGTCAAAAAATCGGACCCAATGCCCTGCCGAAAAGCATAATTGGAAATCACAAACAGAGTGTGAGAATCTCCAATAGATAAATTTATGACCTTGAAAGGAATAGACAAACTAGCAGAATTGCAAAGTCTTTGAATCAATTGGTTAGAGTTGCTATAATAGTTTTTCTTAGATTCTGGACAGCTTGTCAAAAGTTCATAGTTCAGCACGCCACTTGCCTGTTCCACATACCTCGGTGTAGCTTCACAGTTACAACCTATAAACAAATTATGAGCTTGGGAGTTTGTGGTGATTGAACCAGTGTTGCTCAAAGCTATGATAAGTTCGCTTGTCTTTGAATTATAAATTTGATTTATTTTTGGCAGGGGAATATATTTAAAGCTGACTTGATCTCCGTCTAATAAAAACCAGTCCATTTCGTCGTTTAAAACAAAAATTCCGAGTAGTGTAACTTTAATTTCCATTATGTTATCCATCACTTCTAAGTAGTAGCAGCAAACACTTTTCGATTTGTTGTAAACCTCACATGTTTTCGCTGCTTTGCTAAATTGATCGAGTTTTCCTGTTAAGAATACAAGCTTTTTTCCTTCAAAAGCTAATAAATACACAGAAAAACAATCTCCTAAATCTATATTAAGAATTTTAACTTTTTCCCATGAATTGTCTATTTGAACCTCATGCCCGGAATTTTGGTTTGATACAAATCTTAAAATAACGCCAAAATCTTTGATGAATGCGTAGCATTCAAAGTCCGTGGTTAAGCCAGTGGTTCTCAAATTATTTTGATTTACATAAGCATCGTCCTCGCTTGAAAATAATTTGTAATATATTGTAACATGGACGGGAAATTCGTCTTTCTGCCAAAGACCTAGCTGAAACAGTTCGTTATTGCCAAATTGAATTAGTTGGCTGTCGTGCGTTAACGTAATAGAATGGAACGTTCCACATTTAATTTCCTGAATAATATTGCTTGAAGTAACATGATGAATTTCACAGTTGTAAAAGAGAAAAAAATTTGAATCGTCGGTTTGATAAATTGAAAATCCTTCGCCAGCATAAGCATTAATTACATTTAAAGGGTGGCTGTTGTATAACAAAGTCATTTTAAGAGGCCGCGTTATATAGGCAGCTTTCAACGTCCGTTTAATTTCTGTTTGGTTATCTATTACACAAATTTGGTTTAGTATCGAAGGATACAAGGTTTGAAACATTATCTGCAAAAACTGTTCTGTTTGATCTGTAAAACTGTTGGCAAAAGAAGTATTTTGAAGTTTAAAATTGTTGTTTTTGTTTAAAATACATTCCCCATTTTTGTTACTTCCCCATACTAAGAGAGAACCGTTGTCCAGCACCACTAAATTATGCTTTTGCGACACAAAAATTGAACTTATATTTTCAGTACGCAAATTGTATATGGGTAATGGTATAATGTTATATGTTAAGGCCAGATCGTTATAAAAAGGCTCGCACAAAAAACAGTCGATGTTATTTACAAATTCATTTTGAATTGCTCGTCCAGACGGAACGCCAAGCCCCAGTAAAAAGTTTTCAGAATTGTTGCCTGTTGCCCAAATAGGTTTTGAAATAAACTTAAGTAAGAGATCTTTCAACTTTAACTTTGTTGTTACCTTGAAAGTCACCTCATTAGAGAGTATTCGATCTATGTTTTGGTAGATTGAGGTTAAGCAACTACTGTTTAATACGTTAAAAATCACAACAGTGCTGCAATTAGACCATAAACTAAATAAATCTTCGCGAGAGTTGACTGTTTCGTCTAATGTAAGTAAATATTTTGCCGAGTAATTTTGTGTCAAAAATTCGGGCACAAGTTCTGTTGAAGGTGGGCCAATGTTAATTTCAATGTTTGATAAAGAAATGAGCTCGCGCGCTAAAATCTGTAAAGTGTATACCAAGTTAAATTGTTTAAGAACATAACTAGTATGAATACAAATTTGGCAAAGCCAAATAATAATAGTCATAAACTTTTTGAAAATTGGTAAGGGTAGCGATGGCTGAATCGGATCATATGTTAAATTTGATTCATGTTTGATTGTGTACTGAATAAGAGATTCAATGCAAAACACTATATCATTAAAAGATGTAACGAGCTTGCTATAAGTGTTACTTGTAAATAACCGGAGCACTGATAAAAACGAAGAAAATGAATATTTTATGCAATACCTCGACTGAGTGTTTTTACTCTCGATTAGTTTACATAAATTAATAAGTTCTTTCTCTAACTCAGTTATTTCGTCGTTTACATTGTTGTATTTGGCAAAAAGACAAGCTATGGGGTATAATAATTTTGGATCTAATGATTTGTCATTGAAAATTATTTTGACCTTTTCAGGTTTACTTAAATTCTCGTCATGCAAAGAATTCAAAAGTAAGTTTACTTTATTCTTGGTTATATCGTCAAAGTATTGATCGTATTTATTATCTTTTCGAACGAAAAAACTCAATAGCAATCGACTTAGACGCAGAAATATGTTGTTTGCACTGAGTATCGTATCGTAATAGGCTATAGATTTTATTAATTCTTCATTGGCCAGATAAAAGACGTCACTGCACGAATAATGCGTCGTTCCTATCTTAGAGTTGTAAAACTCTTCGTTTTTGCATGATAAATACAACTGAATTAAATTTGTTCTTTTTAGTTTTTCCGATTCATTGTTTGGCAGGAAAAGTTTAGACAAGTAATTCACATTATTTTTCTGAGCCAAGCGCAAAACGAAACTAAAATAATTAAATTCATGAAGACTAAGGAAAAAAGAATTCTTTATGTAGATGATAATGTTTTTGTAAAACAGACTTGTACGCTTGAATGTCAATGTTTTATTATTGTCATTCTGAATCGAGTCCTGTTTATATTCAATATTTTCTGTGATAGTGCGTATTAGATAAGTAGTCATCTGGTAGGTGTAATTTATGTGTTGTGCGATATTAGTTGGATTTATCAGTTCATTGTGGTTATGTATTTTTTTCGGATTTGAGCATGACATTTGGGAAAGGTTTAATTTATGGTTGCGTTGAATGTTTATTTCTAAGTACTCTACAATAATTTTGATGTGAGGTAAAATTGTGTGAGTAAAAGACAACGTGAGAGAAACTTCAAGAAGTTGAGATATGTTTCTTATTTTAAAATTTGTTATCTCTTGTTTGGATATGTGCGATAAGATAAATTCATCAAACGTTTCTGAGTAACTTTTGTCGTTCAAACAACAGTCTATCATATAATCCATTCTAATTGAAGAAATAGTTATAGTTTTGTTTACCTCTAAAAGATTTACAGTTGTATTTTGTGATATAAGTTGGAATGCCAAAGCGCTGATCATTGTAACAGCTAAGCCTCTCTGTTGTGCTAGTAAATGATTGCTATAATCCTCTTTGGTTCTAGTTAGATTATTGATATGCGGGATTAAATCGACTTCGAGTTTATTAGAAATTGTTTTTTCGTTTTGAGAGTTTGGAGTCGTCAAAAATAAGTACAACCACAAAAGTTGCATATAATGATAATGCTCTTCATGCGTAATTGATGTTTTAATGGTTAATTCGTTAAGTATGTGATCCGAAAAAGTATATATCCAGTTCTTTACTTTAAAAATGGATTCAAAAGCAACCTGTATAAAAATATAACGATTTTGTAAAGGAAAAATCGTGAATTCAGATTTTCGTCTGTCCTTGTTTTTAACTGAATCAACTGGCCTATTGGCCTCGAAAAAAACGTGAAATCCAGCGTAAGACTCGTCAAAATAGCACTTTGAATTGTTAACTCGATCTAGGGTATTTTCAGATTCTAACTCGTCAAGATTGGTATCGTCGTTAACTTGGCTCAGTATCTTGTTTATAACTTTAGTGCCTTTTTGCTGTAAAACTTCTAAAAGATAGTAAACTGACGGTTTGTCTAAAATGCTAAAAATTAAATGATCAGAGTATAAATCCGTGCAACGAGGGATGTTAACTTGTATATATTCGTTTAATAAAGACTTGCAAATAATAGACTCGTAGGTCAATTCGTTTATAAAAGAAATTAGACTATGGAAATTAAAATACGACGTATTTGAATCTACGACAGCCTCTGCATTTTGTATAAAACTAAAATCGTGCAAATTTGAAAATATAATTTTTTTAGCCTTCACATTATCATAAAAGTGAGCAGTAATGGGCTGTAAAAGCTTGATTTTTGAGTTCGAAAACTTGACATTGTACATACTAGAAACATCAAAATGTGCTTTGTAAAAAGTTATAAAACGGCTTGGTCCGAGATATACCGTGTGTAAATTGGGAAACAACTTTTTGATTCGTACTCCATTGTTGTGTGTAGTTTTACCTTGTAAATGGGTGTCAATCTGATTCAGTTGGTTGTTTTCGCATTTGATTGAAACTAATGATTGAAAATAGTTGTCTACTTTGACTTTTAAATTGTTGCTGGAGCACGTGCAATGAAAACTCAATTCGGGTGTAGTTCTAAATAAAAAAACAACGTAGATGTAGCATTGTCTGTTATACTTTTCAATATAAAAGCCATCAATTTTAGAGAGATCCCACAGAGTATTGAGTTGAGAAGAAGCAACTTCTTCCAAATTTATTATTGTATTGGGAAGCATCCCTTTGTTGGTTAATAAGATTATTCCAGCAGAAGGTAGTTTGATTAAACAATTGCAAATGTTTGACTCCGTATCATAAATAGATGCGATGTAGTTTCTAACTGCTGCTATATTCACTTCTGAAAAATACGACTGGTCCGCTTTGAGCTGGTTAGAAACTAATAAATACGGAACCTCTTTTTTGAATTCATCAAGAATGGCGTTGTTATCTGTGTTTGATAATTCAAAAGAATTCAAATAGATGCTGCTTAAAAAAAAAGCAATTAAGTTCATTTGATAAATTAAACCATGAAGAGATTCCATTACCATGTTATTAAACTCAGACAAAACATTAATCGAAAAACTTTCAGTTACTTTCAGCTTGTACGTATCTATCTTATTATTTCTAATTACTACCACTATAGATTCTACTTTGCAGGGCAACAGCGAAACTGCCCACCGCTGGTCGATACTCAAGTCATGCCAGTAAGAAAATACTTCTTGATCATTGTAAGACAAAGATATCATAGATTTTTGTTTAGGATCCGTCAATAAAATAGGTTTGTTACTCATGTCATTTACTGAAAATGTCAACGTCATAAAATCATTCTCGTTTTCTTCGGGTTGTTCTGAAAACTCGCTTAAAAAGTTTGGTAGATTTAATTCTTGTTCAACAGATTTTTCTAACCTCGGCTCTTTTGAGTTATCATTATTTGTTTTCAGAATGACGTTGGAATCGTAGGTACACTTTGAAAACGAACTAAAATTGTTAAACTGAATGAGTTGAGATATCAATGTTATGTTCAATACACAATTTGAGTTTGGCAAAAAAAATAATGCTGTTTCTCCCAAGCCCATCGTCATTAAAAGTTCCGCTAAGAAACTGCAAAAATATTCTCGTTCGCTAATATCGTTGTCTTTGTCCGAATAAACATAGTTTTGAACGGAAATTCCGTTATTAATGATTATTTGAGCCAAAATTTCAAAATAATCTTCAGTATAGTCGTTTTTACTTTTGTAGTCCTTGTTGAGAAAGGTTTTCATGAACGAAAGTTTTTTGTATATTTTTCTAGATTTAGTTTTTTTTTTTGTCCAAGTTTTCGCAATATGATCATGGAACAATACGGCGGGATGAGTGTTATAGTCTGAAAGCAACTCGTCAAATTCTGCTTTGTTTCTTGGAATCAATGGGAATTCATATCCTTTGAGTGTGTTAGCTGACTTGTACTGCGTAAAAAAACTAGTGCATTTTTTAGGGTCTAAAAAATACGGTCTGCTCAAACTGACATCAAGATTATTGTAATTTAAAAATATTAATTTCTTGAGATCTTCAACATTAGTGATCTTGCTGTAGTCACTAACATAACTGATCCCCATGTTAATTAAACAACGCGACTGAGAAGTAACCCAAGACTTTTGTTCGTCGCACTGGACATCGAAGTTTACATTTGAAATTTCTGTTATGTCCGAAGTTGGATGTAAAATTTTTTGTTTATTCAACAAAACCTTATGTATAATTCCATTGACGTTCGTAGCAATAAGTTGCTCACATATCAAAGGATGATCTAATGAATACTTGTATATCGACCTGTTATCAGATATAAAAGAAAATAAATTGCCTGTAGCAATATCAGAATAATCCGGATAAAGGTTAAAAATTTTTTGGTGAAGATAAAAAAATAACAATCTCTTATCGTTAACACTTAAATCTTTGTAGTTTGCACAAACAATAGCTTGTGGAATATATTTTAAATATTTATTATCTCTTAAATGTTGAAAGTAGTTTATTTCTGCCGCCAGCTGCGCTGCGATTGTTGGCATCTTGTAATCGAATATTACGTCGTTAACGCAAAAACTTTTTTCGCTAAAATGAATAGATGCATACGGGAGATGTTCGTTAGCATATAGTTCTCCTAAGTTATTGGTGACTTTTTCATCTTTGTGTTGATTTGTGCTTGTAATGCAAATCATTTCGTTCAGTTTTTATTGCATATATAAATATTGGCTCAAATAAGATTCATTATCGATTTTTGTAACTTAAAATAAAGCACAAATATAATTTTAACAACGATTCAGTTTGATATATTTTGACGTTCGCGTTAAGACTTAAATATATTTTTGATCTTTTTTTGAGAATAACGAAGAATTTTCTATTTATTTTATTAAATAAAATTATTCAAAAATTAGTATCTGCCTGTACGCTTAAATTACAATTAGCTTAGAGATACGTAGTGAAAACATTGTAAATTTGAGTTATATATTACGTTTTAGTTATCGAGGTTAGGAATGCATGACAAAACTAGTTTATTAACATTATTTCTGTGACCAGCCTAGTTTGTTTTTTTATTAAAATTTTGTGTTTTTATTCGAGTCCACAAACATTGTGTAAAAACATTTGAGTCCATGTTCAATTAAATTAACATTCGTGTATGGCAATAGTACTTGAATTGAATAAACCAGAGTCGCAATGTGAAATTAAGAAGGTCGGCTCTGTGGGCCTTTACACATTTAGTTCAGAGTTTATTGCGAGAAACTCTGTTTGCGAAATTACGAATACTGAGTTATACAAAAACAACAACCAACCTTCCTCAAACGGACTACATGATCCTCGCATGGGTCCTGTTAGCCAGGGCGCGGTTTGCAAGACGTGTAATATGTCATATCGAGTTTGTTGTGGTCACTTTGGCCACATCGAATTAAAAAAACCTGTGTTAAATTATGCTTTTATAAAAACTGTGGTTAACGTCCTCCGCTGTGTTTGTGTTTCTTGCGCAAGAATTCTAGCACATCCCAGTGACAAGAGATTCAGAGATGTCTTGCTAATAAAATCTAAACCTGCTCGTTTGACTGCAATTGCAAATATCACTAGGACTGTTACTACTTGTCCCATTTATGAAGATGACAACGGTAATGTTATTGGTTGCGGAGCTAGTCAACCAACGTTTAAAAGAGACAACTTAGAAATTTTAGCTGACTTTTCGCGGTCTGGCGGCCAAGAAGGCAAGGGAGGAATTAAGACATCAGTAGAGAAATACTTTTCTACCACTGAGATATTGTCTGTATTTAAAAAAATAAGAACCACCGATATAAAGCTTCTCGGTTTTGACGGTGTTAACACATCCCCTGAAAATTTAATAATTAGGAATCTAATTGTAATGCCGCCCTGTGTTCGTCCACCTGTTCAATTCGGAGCAGATCGTTGTGAAGATGATTTAACAGCAAAATACAACGACATTTTACTTTTAAACAAGCAAATTAAAAGATTTGAGGAAGCAGGAGCAGCTTCACACGTAATGACCAGCAGTTATAGTTTACTGCAATACCACGTTGCAACTTTAATGAATAATGAAATCTCTGGTATTCCTGTCGCGACTACCCGTAGAAAAAAGCCTATCAAAGGTATTAGAGAACGATTAAAAGGAAAAAATGGGCGTCTCAGAGGTAATTTAATGGGTAAGCGTGTAGATTTTAGTGCGAGAACTGTTATCACTGGTGACCCTAACTTGGATTTGGATCAGGTTGGTGTTCCTTATAGTATTGCAATGAATCTTACATTCCCTGAAATAGTGATCAATTCAAATCTTGATGAAATGCGAATGGCTGTTACAAATGGTCCGTACAAATGGCCAGGTGCTAAATACGTTATAAGAAAAGATGGTACTAGATATGACCTGCGTCACTGTTACAATGGCTCCTCTGATTTGCAGCTCGAACCTGGATGCGTCGTCGAACGTCACTTGAGAGACGGTGATTATGTATTGTTCAATCGTCAACCTTCTTTGCACAAGATGAGTATCATGGGTCACAGAGTTAAGGTATTACCGTACTCTAGTTTCAGAATCAATCTTAGTGTAACCTCTCCGTATAATGCCGATTTCGATGGAGATGAAATGAATATGCATGTTCCACAATCTTACGAAACTAGAGCAGAAATTAAATATTTGTGTGCTGTTCCCTACCAAACTATATCTCCTCAAAGTAACAAACCTGTAATGGGGATTGTTCAAGATACACTGATTGGAGTCACTTTGATGTCTGATAAAAACATTTTTGTTACTAAAAAAGAATTAATGTCTTTATGTTTGCAAGTGGAAGGATGGTCTGGAGAAATTTTTCCTCCTACGGTTTGGAAACCACAAAAACTTTGGACAGGTAAACAGTTGTTCACGCTTTGTTTGCTTTCAAGTGCGTCTAACCTTAAAGAAAATAGTACCATTGTTTCGCATCCTCCTATTACTAGACCGAACTTATTATGCTTCAATAGAGATAATAACATTCGAATTCGATCTGAAAATCCTAACTTCACGTCCAACGATGGTCATGTTATAATTGAGGACGGTGAGCTGCTTTCCGGAGTTATTGATAAAAAAATTGTAGGAGCTACTTCTGGTGGTTTAATTCATGTGCTATGGCATCAGTGCGGTGTCATTACGACAAGAAACTTCATTCATATTTTGCAACGTGTCGTTACTGCGTGGATGCTCACCCAAGGTTTCACCGTCGGCATCAGTGATATTATTGTGGCAGATGAAACGGCAAAGAAGATTTCAGAAGTTTTACAAGCTAGACAGGAGGCGGTGAAAGAGCTTTTCAAAAAAGCTTGTTCTGGTAATTTCGAGACGCAACCAGGCAAAGGCCTGTTGCGTTCTTTCGAAGCCGTGTCGAACAGCGAATTCAATTCAGCTAGAGAAATTGCAGGAAAATACGCCACCGATTTCCTATCTAACTCAAACAACATTTATAGAATGGTTATGTCTGGTTCCAAGGGTAGTATGATTAACATATCGCAAATCATGGCTTGTGTCGGTCAACAAAATGTAGAAGGTAAAAGAATCCCATTTGGATTCAACGCTAGAACTTTACCTCATTTCGCCAAATTCGACTTTAACGCTGATAGCAGAGGTTTTGTTAAGAATTCATATTTAAGTGGTTTGTTACCACATGAGTTGTTTTTTCACGCCATGGGTGGAAGAGAAGGAATCATTGATACAGCCTGTAAAACATCTGAAACCGGTTACATACAACGACGTTTAGTAAAGGCTATGGAAGATGTTGCTGTGGCATATGATGGAACTGTTAGAAATTCTAACAATGAAATTATTCAGTTCTTTTACGGTGAAGATGGAATCAGAGGTGAGTTTATTGAGCAACAAGACTTGATACTAATGACAATGAATTATGAAAAACTGAAAAAACGATTCTTTCACGATATTTATGATGAAAACTACGGAAAAGGCTGGTTAGAACCTTCTATCGCTCAAGAGATTATAAGCCGAGTTCATACTGAAATTTTAGATCGAGAATATCAGTTTTTATTAGATTCACAGAGAATGCTTCAAACTGAAATTTTCCCCGATGGTGAATACAAACAATATTTGCCTGTCAAGTTTGAAAGATTTATTAATATTGCGAAGAAAAAATTCCTTCAAGAAACTATTTGTACTGTAGATCCTCGCGACTTGGTTCGTCAAATAGACCAACTTGTCGATGACTTGCAGCCAGTACGCTATGCAGATAATATTGTATTGGAGAGCGTTCGTTGTTCCATGGTGCTTTTCGTTATTCAACTCAGAACCTATTTAAACAGTTTGGAATTATTGCGCTACCATAAATTTAGTCAAGAAGCTCTGACATGGATATTCGATTCAATTAAAAATACGTACAGAACCTCATTGATACAGGCAGGAGAGGTTGTCGGTTGTTTGGCTGCGCAGTCTATTGGCGAGCCAGCAACGCAGATGACCTTAAATACATTCCACTTCGCCGGAGTTGGAGCGAAAAATGTTACATTAGGTATTCCTCGACTCAGAGAACTATTGAACGTCGCAATTAATATTGCTACTCCTAGTTTGACTGTATATCTAGATTCCGAAACGGCTAAAAATTCGGAGTTTGTTCGAAAATTACAAGGAGAAATTGAGTTTACTACACTTGAAAAGTTTATTAAGAAAATAGAGTTGGTTTTTGACCCAGAAATTATGAGCAGTTGCATACCCGAAGATAATGAATGGGTAGAAGATTACTATTCGCTAAACGAAATGAACGAATCTTCCGCTAGCAGCATGAGCGTTTGGGTTTTGCGGTTAACATTACAGCAAAGACTTATTACGGAAGGGTTACGGTTAAGCGAAATTGGAGAAAAAATAAAAAAACTTCTAGCTCATTTGCAGATGTCAGTTATTTGGACTGATGATAACAGTGATCAATTTATCATCAGAATAAGAGCTTCTAAAAACTCCGCCAAACTACTCGATTTACACTCTACGTTAAATACAGCAGAAGTAGGCAGTGAAGAGACAATTGATTTGTTAACCTATTTAATGGAAACGACTCTGCCTTCCATACGTTTACGAGGTATACCGGGAATCAAAAAAGTATATATTCGAGAAGAACGAGCTGTGAAATATAACCCCGACAAGGGAGTTTATGAACCATGCAATGGTGGATGGATTCTCGATACTGACGGTGTTAACCTGGCCAGTGTGTTTACGCTTGAACACGTAGATTTCACGCGCACGATAAGTAACAACATTTCTGAAGTTCTAAAAATACTAGGAATTGAAGCTGCACGGGCTGCTTTGCTGAAGGAAATCCGTCAAGTCATTTCTTTCGATGGTTCATATGTCAACTACCGACATCTCGCTATTCTATGTGACGTTATGACTCATAGAGGAACCTTAGTGCCTATTAATAGACACGGTATTAACAGAGTCAACAAAGGATTGTTTGCAAAGTCTTCATTCGAAGAAACTGTTGAAATATTCTCAGACGCAGCTATGTTTGGCGAAATGGACACACTGAATGGACTCACTGAAAATATAATTTTCGGTCAGCTTGCGAACTTTGGTACCGGTATGAGCGATATCATGATTGATTACGCCAAGCTTAAAAACGCAAACACATATTTCGAGTCTTATTCTGGTGCTGAATGGGCTAAATTGAACAATACTGTGGAGAACAACGATATTTCGAAGTTGTACGAAGAAGAACTTTCGCACGATCCGTTATGCCCGTTCAGTCCGATAAACCCGAACCTCGGTTCCATTGATGGAATTCTGAGCCCGAGAAATGCTATTTTAAGTCCAACTATGCAAGCTTTTTCACCCAATTCTGCCGGTTTCAATCGCAACGAAGTCGGCAGTTTTTTTAGTCCTGCTTCTCCCCTTTATTCGCCGATGGGAAACTTGCAAAGCCCTAGAAGCATGTTCCAAAACGACATGGATCAACAATTTAACTACAGCCCTTCAAGCCCTGTCATAAACAATATTGCAAGCCCAATGTACAGCCCTTCTAGTCCTATCAATTTTATAAAAGGCTCGTTGATGAACAACAGATACAGTCCTTCTAGTCCTCTGTCGCCAATTTCGACCAGCGATATCTTAAAGATGCCTAATACGCTCAATCAATCATTCAATCCAATGTCGCCCAATTACGCAAAGACTGTTCACATGTATAGTCCTCGTTCGCCTACTAGCCCCTTGTATTCTCCTCTCGGGTCTAACCCTCAATCTCCTGGAGCATACAGTCCAGAAGCGCGCTGTTACAGTCCCACTACAATCATGCTTTCGCCTAGCAACGAACTCAACGACATGGCTGTCAATTCAGAGATAAAATCTCCTGGATTCGATCCTTTTACTGACATGCCGATGGGAAACTATATGGACAATGATAACAATAAAGTCTACCAAGATCCTCTCTTTGATAACGAAGAAGGCGCTTCTTCGGAATAGGCACGCTTGTCCTTGACAACAGATTGCTATGAAAGAAATTTAACCAAATTTATTGATGTTAGATAAAAGTTTATACTAAGTTAGTGTTAGGTTTGTTCCCGTACTCTTTAGTCATAGTCTACCGCATGGAAATTATTTTTTATATCATCGTACATCTCGTTAAACATTTCTTCTGATACGGGATTTAATTGCTTGAATTTGCGCTTAACATTGTAAACATGCCAGTTCGATTTAATATGCGACTTTAAGCTTGAAATACCACTGTCACAGACTGAACAATGAGAATTACTTACTGAAAACGCTTCATGGGATCTTGGCTTTGTATTTTTGATGGTATTTTGCTTAGGTTCATTTTTATGGTCCTCTTCTGCCTTAAAAGCGTTTTCAAGCTCCATCTGAACTTGTTCTAATTTTTTAAGACGTTTTAAACGTAATTTTTCATATTGTTTAATCTCCTGTCTTGTCATTTGCAGTTTTTGGTCTTTAGTTAGTTCTTCCAACGACTCGTCTGAATCAGAATCATCTGAGACTTGTTCTTCATTTTCTGCTTTGACTTTGATTTTAACACGTTGTTTTGTTAAATTTTCTGCTTTAGTAGTTTCTATTTTATCTTTAATGGTTTGATATGGAATTTTTTCCACGATGATAGTTATAGAATCCAGTTGTGCATTTTTATTTGCGGCGAAAAAACTAGATAACAAATTCTTTTCTGATTCATAAGTGTAGAATTCAATTACATCTTCTACTCTGCTAAAAGAAATCAGGGATATTACGTCGAGGACTTCTTTTGTTAATTGTTCGTCAAACTGTTCGCGCTTCGCGTTTGGAATAGTATTTAGAAAAATTTTGACGTGAATACCTGGCAGGTAGTAAAGGTCTGGCTGTTTCGCTGCCAGTTGAAGACAAATTTTCTTCGCTATAGCTTTAGGTGAAACGGTAGATGAAGGTTTGATGCGTAAGTTATTTTCCTTCAGGACATTCTCGAGCTGTTTCACAGACAAATAATTGTTTGAATTACAACTGCGAATTTTGGAAGCACACATTAAAAGTACATCCTGAATAAACTGGTGTTGTTCCTGCATCCGTTCTGAATGCGTCTTTTGCACTAATCCGTTCTTTAAAATAAACTTAGACACTACTTCCCAATCTGAAGTTCCAAACGTGTTCTGCAAGTCAAAAGTACTGGCAAATTGCCCTTTAATTACATTAGAAAAAATTCTGTGACTTTGCAAAACTTGCTGAATATCTGATTCAAGTCCTTCGCGCCAGTCTATGACTTTGTTGGGGTAACACGCTAATTCAAATACGTTGAGTTTGTCGCGATATCGTACGATTGCCACATTAGTTAATTTAAGCTGATTTAACGGTTGTGTGATTCTAGGCATAATAAATGATAAAAAAAGATTCTATTAATTATTATGTACTAAAACATAAGAAATTATGTAGATAAAAAATGGTCCAATTCTGTCCAGCGTTTATCTTCAATCGCTGACCAAATCCGATCGTTGTATCTCTCCCCGATACTATGAAACGAATCGAAAATATCTTTTTTTTTCATCTTATTTTTCTTGGACCGATAATTTGTTAGCCGAGTAACGTATTTGTCAAATCCATTTATTTCAAATGCATTCTTCACGTTGGCATTAGTTGAATTTTTCTTTATTTGTTTTTCATGGGTTTGTGACAGGGCTTCCACCGTTAAATTACTTATTTTAGAACTGCTTTTGTTTTGATTGGTTATTAACATTTCGAGTTCATGATTGTATTGCGATAAAATTTCATTAAAATTTTCCTTCTTTAGTTCTTCCATTTCATTGTTGTTATTGTTATTTTTTTCTGTCATAATAGAGCTATCTAACCGTTTGGCTTGATTTTCCATGTCAGAGAAAAAAACTAGTTTGTGTAACTCATCTTCTTCTAGGTTATTGTTATTTTTCAAGTGTAAACATTTATCTAAACTCGTACTAAACGAAGGAACTTTCATGCTTTCTGACTTTAATAATGCGGCATTACTGCTATCGCGCTTACTATTTTCTTCCTGTAATATAGGATCTATTCTTACGTCAAGATTTGGTTTTTCAATATTCATGTTTAACTTTTCATTGTCTAAACTAGTTTCATCAATATCAGTACAACTTTGTTCAGTGAATTTTGCGCTCAGAGATTGCAAGTCTTTGTTTATTAAATTTTTTAATTCTTCAGACGAGAAGTCATCGATTTCTGTTTGCGAAAACTGCAACTTCGATGGCAAAAGATTTTTGTTAGTAGTTCTTTTTTTTGACTGCTCGTTGAAGTTTTGAGCGCTATTTTTTTTAGTATCTTTTTTTTTATCAAACGAGGTCTGCTTAACATTAGGTGAAGGAATGTCTGACCAATAACAAGTACTGGCGTCTAAAACTGGGATTTCAAAATACAAGTCTGAAGTATCAATTGGATTTGCTTTAAATTTATCTTCGATCTGCAGTTTTAAAGATTCCTTTGTTGTCATTTCTGTAGCTATCTCTTCATTATAAGATGAAAGTTCTTTTTTACTGACGCGACTGTGTACTGATGAGTTTGAACTATCAAGTTTATTTTTTTCAACACCAGATGTCGCCTGTAAATTTTTTTTAGAAACAGCCGTTGTAGACTGATTAATTTTTGAATTTATAGTTTTTAAATTTGGTTGAGCGTTTTGCGTTCTATAAGTATTTACGTTGTCAAATTGTTTGTTGTTGGAACCAGAAGTGACTTTATTGTTGAGACTAGTTTTAATTCGCTGCTTTTGGGTAAGACAAGGAGGCGCTTTCGCAAAAACCAATTTTTTTTTTAAAGATTGCGAACTAGAATTTAAGCTAGTGATTTTAGATTCAAACATGGATCCGTTGGACAAATCGTGATGACTTCCCGTTGCAGATTGTGTTACGGATTGCTTATAATGTTTATTTTTCAATAAATCGTTGGTAGGCTCACCATCGATGAACCAAGATTCTATGGAATGATTTTTTTGTTTGCGGGACGCGTTTGAAACATCAATATTCTCCATTCCTCGAGTTTCAAATACCTCCTGAGAAACAACTTGGTAATTGACAACGTTTGACTTGGCAGAAATATTATCCTCGAAGCGTTCATCTTGATTAGTCGCATATTCGATTTCTGAATCAGATAGTAAATTATTTGACGTAGAATTTTTGCTGTCGTCAAAAACAAACTTGATGGTTTCTTTATTATGTACTTGATTGTTTTCAAAAGTATCATCGAAAAAACTTGAATCGCACGAAAATTCTATGTTATCAGAACCTTGACCTCCTGAACTGGGAGACCGACTTGTTTGCATTAAGGACTGAATTTGGTTAATGCTTAAGTCAATACCTGGCAAAGATTCAAAAAAATTATCGTCTAATTCAATTTTTGAGTTGCTGATAATTTTCTCAGCGTCGTCAGGAGACAATTTAGTAAGGGTTTCAAGCGATTCCCAGTGCAGATCTCCATAGTCAAAAGAATAACTTAGAGGCTGTTTGTCATTTTCGTTTATTGGGTTCGCAAAATCCGTTTTTTTTAGGTTGATCGTAGTTTTTTGAGTATAGAATTGTTCAACTGGTGAAAAAATTTTAGATGAGTTTGTATTACGTTGATCATCGTGATTTTTATTAGATTCGGAATTTCTTGTTTTTGTTTTGAAATTGTTTTGCATTTGTTGATCTTGCTTTGCGGGTAACCATTCTTCGAACGCGTAGTTAGACTCGAACTGGAGAGAATTGGTTGCTCGCTCAAGAAAATCGTAATCTTGCGATTTCGGCATTGGAGTGAAAGATAATACGGTTTTTGGACTTGGTGCATCATACCAAATTTATCGCCAAATTATGTCTTAAAAAATAAAATAAAATAGATTAGGCCTCGACTTCGGATTCATTTTAATTAATATCAAGATATTGCTCGATATTTTTAACGATATTGTCCAGATCTTTTTTGTTTAAACTTTGTACAACTTTCGCTTCGTACACGTTTGTTTCTTTGCAGTAATGCCACCGAGGTTCGTACTTTGGATGTTCACTGAATACGATGTGGTCACGAACGTAAGTAGGGGGACCACACGTTAAAAGTCGTTTTAGTTCTGCTTTGCAGTCTAATTTTTGTAAATTAGTTACGTAGTTGTCAAATTGATTACTTATTAAATATTTTACACAACGAAAACAATATACACTTGGGCGCCAACAGATCGTATCGAACACAGGTCTGACATCATAATCTGTTAAACAATACATAATGCGATTGTTGTCACTTAAATCATCGTAACAAACTTGACAATTAAAAATATTAGCTGCTTCTTTGGCAGATAGCGGCTTTGTGCTCGACATATAAAAAATAATATAATATTTGACGCAGTAAAAATTAATTGAATATTTCAATCATTAAAATATAAATAAATAGCATAAATACAAGCACTCAAAAATATTCGACCCATTAAATAATATTGATAAAAAAGTTCGAAATAAATAATATTGAATTAATAATCTTTGGATGTTTTAACAAGTAAAATGACTGACATGAGCTTTGGGCCACGTGTACATTCTGCCAAAGCCCCTGTGACAAAGGGTGCTGCATTGGCAATACAATACGAAGGAGGTGTGTTGGCTGTTTCTAACGTACTGTTAACGAGACATTCGAAGCGCTTGTATGACGAAGTGGAGTCGATTTTCGAAGTATCAGAAGATTGTGTCATCACAGGATCAGGCGATCACGGAGGTTTTCAGCACATCTTGGATTTTTTGGTTCAAACGCTGAAAAAACTAAAGTTAAGTCACAACGAGCAAGTCATCAAGCCTGAAACCATATTTAACATTATAAAACGATTTCTGTACAAACACCGTGTGCAATTTGACCCGCTATTTGTCAACGTTATCGTTGCTGGGTCCGACGGATTCTTAGGCAGAATTGATATGCACGGAACGAGCATAGTTGAAAATTTTGTTTGTTCAGGGCTTGGAGCGTATTATGCAATCAATATTTTACGAAAGGAAGCGCATCCTAAAATGACTTACGACGAAGCTTACAAACTTTTACGCGAATGTATGAGCATTTTGGCTGGTTGTGATGCCACTTGCGGGTCAAAAATCATATTTGCCAATTTGACTTCTGAAGGCATTAAGTTTTCAAACATTGAAAAAGTCACCCCAAATCATTCTGCATTGATGACTGAAGTAAAATCAGCTTAAAGATCATTTTGTCTAACCAAACTTCGGTTTAAATCTGGCTTTGTTCGTCGGAACACAAGTTCAAGGTCTTACGTCGCGTTTGCTGAACGAACATATTGCTAACTTCCGAAATCAAGTTGAAAGCAATTTCCTTCTTTTGAATTAACACACTTCTGAGCGACAGCAGTAACACAATGGGTCCTTCCATCAATTTGCAAAGATTCTCTAATATAAGCGAGACAAAAATCTTTTGCTTTAGATTTGTTGAATCGCCGCACACCTGTTCAAAATCAAAATTCAAACTGTAAAGATTATAATCTGCTGTGTTCTTTCTTGTTTCGAGCTGGCTGGTTCGTTGTGACAATTTAAAATTTAAACCATGTGCAGTCGGTTTGTAAACAAAAATAGATCCTGAACCAGGCAACTGCGCTAGCCGAATAATGTTGTATTCGTTAAACTTGTTAATTTCTACGGAAACAGGTTCGCAAGCCATCTGCAGTCGGTTATTATCAAACTATCAATTTTTTCCAATTAGAAGCAACCACTAATAAAAAATAATTGCTAATTAAATTATTTTTTCGAGTAATTTAATTGTAGTTTCTTATGTAAGTAAACATTATGAAAAAAAATGAAGAAAGTGGCGAGTCTGATGCTGGTATTGAAAACACAGATGAAGTAAGCCAAGAAAAGCCGAAAAACGTGCCGAGAACAGTCGAGAATACTTTAAACAGGCTGTTGCCTGAAGTCGACTCAGACGACGAAGAGCTGTTTAAACAGCAGCAGAACGACGAGTTTGCGGAGCGTTATTCAGAAAATTACGAACCCAAAATTTTGTTTACTTCCACAGAAGACCACGTTTCAAAAACAACGATGCTGTTCTTAAAGGAAATAACGATGGTCATTCCGAACTGCGAGTTTTTGTTGCGGAAAGGAAAAACATTGAGCGATGTTCGCGAATTCGCGTTGAAAAACGCTTATACAGACGTAATCATCGTAATGCAGAGACACAAGAAGCCGTACGGACTAACAATAAGTCATTTGCCAAAAGGACCTACGTCGTTTTTCCACCTTAGTGGTATTAAACTCGCGCAGGACATTCCAAACTCGGTGTCAATGACGACGCACAATCCAGAAGTAATAACCAAAAACTTCAAATCGTTTGTAGCTCGCAGGGCGGCTCGTCAACTCGAAAGTCTTTTTGTATCTAATGAAGAACACGCTGGAAGACGAGTAATCGTGTTTCAGAACCAAAGAGATTTTATTTTTTTTCGCCATTACAGGTACGTGTTCATAAACGAAGGAGAAAACGCTTCCCTCGCAGAAATCGGACCTCGGTTTACTTTGAAACTCCGTTCGATTCAAAAAGGTTTCTTAGAACTAAAGACAGGAGAGTACGAGTTTAAAATCAGCGGAAAAGAACGAAAGTCCAAGAGAGACGTCTTTTTTTAGTTTGAATTACAGAGATTAATTTCTTCAACTAGGATAGTTCGAATTGTCGTTCAGATTTTCGGAGATTTTAGGTTTTTTGTAGCCTTTGAAGTACCAACTGCCTTTATCATTGTAAGCTAATTCGTTAAACAAGGCACGCAACTGCAGATCTGGCAAGTCACACGGAGTTTTGTTTTTGTACGCACAGTACACATTGAATTCCTGAATCGTGATGGAACGTTGATAATTTTCGAGATAATAATTGATGAGAATTTTTCTGAAAGGCTCAATGTTGGGCCTGCTTGAGGACGTGATGACCCAGTGTGTGTTTATCTTGATAGCTTCATTATTTAACAGCATAGGCAGTATATCTGTCTTGAGACTATTAATTAGTTTTGTTTGGTTTTGTAACTCTATTTGTGTATTTTGATCTATTTCAGATATGGTGTTGCTGTCTGGTGTGGTTTGCTTCAACAGTTCGCACTTCAGCCCGTCGAGCAACACAGCTTCATCCATTGCTCCCTCCTTCAGCAAAATGTTTTTAACGATGTAGTGGCATTGGACAAAGTCGAGAGCCCTGAAAACCTCGTGACTAGAGTTTTGCGTCATGGAGTTCTCAGTCATCTTGAGCATCAGCTCGTTCAATTCCTGCAGATTTTGTTGCGCTCGAGCAGGGGAATATATATCTTCGAAGAATGAGCACACGGTGGGATAAAGCGTAGGAAACTCTTTGTCCGGCTCTAAACAAGAAATGTATTTCTCGTCTACTTTTTTAAACATTCCTTTCAATATGCTGTCGAGACGCTTTATGGGCAGCTTCACCAGTTTGCCTAGCTTTTCGATTTCTACTGCTTTCGTTTTGTTGAACAGACACAACACGATATCGCGGACTCTTATTTCGATTTCGTACCACTTGGAATTGTTTTCAATCAACAGATTGCTTTTGCAAAACCAAATACCGTGCAAAACAACTCCGTATTTTTTCAATACATCGATCAAAGCGTTGTCGGAGTAATTCTGCATAACGACCAGCGTTTTCATGTTTTTAAAGTAACAGTGGCCTCGCATCCGCAAAATGCGTAATACTTGATCATCAATCGATAGTTTTCGCAGTGCAGTGTACGATAATGGACCCACGCCAAGAAGTCCTTCGCTGTTCTTGTTGAATCCTAGATGCGCGGACGAAGAAGAGTTATTGGTTGAAATTTTTTGAAGATAGCTGTCGTTGTTGGTTGAATAAAAGATTTTTATGATCCAGCTCAAATCGTTTTTATTAAGTAAGGGTTTTGTTTTTTTAATTATATTTTTTTCAGATTGCGAGTTGTTGAGCAGATCAAGTTTATTTTCTCGGAAATTTTCTGTTTTACCCTTCAGAGCGTGCGGAATGTCGAACTGCTTTAAATAAGTAACCATTTGATTCATTTCCACGCTGATGTCTTGAAATATGTAATTGATGTTTTGGTAACGTTCGTTCAAATGGTTTTGCTGAGCGCCAAAATTATTGTTGGTACTTTTCCGCTTGGTAGTTGATAATTCACTTTGTAAAAACGCTGTCTCTACTTCGGTAGAATTTTGCAGCAAATCAGAATTTGTAGCAAGAGAAGTACTGATGCTATGAACGGAAAAGTTGGAATTTTCTTCAATTTGGGGCCTAAAGTTATGAATTTGGTTTATTGTGTACATATAAAATATGTCGTTCTCGAAATAACCCAATACATAACTTTGGTTTTTGTTTGTTATCTGTGAAGTGAGAGTGTAATTCATAATTGAATTGTACTCTTTTTGCTCTTCTTCGGTTAGCTGCCTAACGTTGGAAATGTTTGCTAATGTTTCGTAACGACTTTTAACTTCGTTTTTCACCCACTCCTGATTTGGATTCATAGTGTATACAAACTTAAGTTTGTTGGAGTTTTCTCCTATCATTATTTGGCTGATTTTTCCTTGATCTCCATAAGGCCTGTACCTAGGTCTTAATGGGTACTGAAGTAAGTTGATTTTAATGTCTGGATTTTGGTTTAATACAATGGGTATTCGCCTGACGACTTTCTCCACCTTGCTGTTCTTTGACCTATTCATATTTAATGTAACTTATGCTGTCATATATCAGTTAAGCAGCATTATTTCTATAACCAAAAAAGTCTACAAATATATTGAGTTTAATTAGGATAAAAATTTTATAAATTTTTTTGCCTCGTATCATCGATAATTAACACAAATAATTAGATTGTTAGGATGGAGTAGATAAAAGTTAAAAGCTTAAATTAATTTTTATCGGTATTGTTGATTGCAAAAGTGAGACACATAACAGAGAAAAATTCATTTAGATCTGGTGCGATTAGACTAGTGTGGCCTGGCCTAAACAACTTCGGCAAAACAACGTAATCGTTGACCGTTTTGATTTCGAAGTTCACCTTTTTGCTAATAATTTGTCCCCGATTAACGGTTGAAAAAAGTAGTCCTTTAGCTATTTGTTTCGACTCTGCAATGGAGTTTTGAACGCTGAAAAACGCATTTGGCAAAGATAAGGAAAGGTCTTCAAGAGATTTCCTGCCGATAAAGTCATTTGTCTTAGGAGGTTCCTTGATGGAAATGTAACTCATCGATAACGGATAGTTAATAATGCCCCATTTACAGTTTTCAGGAATGTAAGTTAAAATGTCTTGAACCAGCGACTCAGGCCTGATAGGTTTAGTGAATTCTCCGTTAGGTTTCAAATTGCTACCAGGGTTGATCATGAATGGCAACTCTCCGCCGCCAGTATTTTCAAGAGCCGCTATGTAAGCGTTTGATTCTAAAACAAAAAGTGATAAATTTGTATTTTCAGCAAACCTCTTTTCATTCCACTCAGGGAGACAAACAGCGCATGAGTCGAGCCATTTTTGACGTAGATTATATTCGATTGAAATAAATCTTTTGTCGTTGGGGTTGTCGACAGATACAACCGGAGCGATGATTCCAAGTGGTTTAGAGGGTGAATTTTTTGTTGTGGCCATGCAAACATTAAGGTTTTCCTTGATGCAGCGTCCGATCATTGATGGTATTATTTTCAAAGCCAATACATTCACGTCCTGTAAAAACATGACATATTTTTTCTTTTCTATCTTAAGCTGGTTCATAAACCAAGAGTCTTTATACAATACTCTGTGGACGTCCCCGTGTCCAATGGGACGAGTTATTATTTCATTTGTCAACGGATTTCGAGCTGCTTTTCCAAACTTGTTGATTAAACACGGTCCATTGGTCTGACGAATGATACGCACGTTGGCCTTGTTCAAACCGTAGTAGTTCTTGGCGTCCAATTCGGTTCTTATCGGTTTTTCGGTTGTGTTAGAAACAATGATTACCAAGGTAATGTTACGAACGTCGATAGAATCGAGGTTCGTCAAACTGTGGTACTTTTGGTATATCGATAAACCCCTAAGCATGCATTCAAGAACAGTTTTTTCTTGACTAAACAACGGAAGCAACACTTTCGCTGTTTCAAATTGAAGTCTTTCTCCTACTCCACCGGCTATGTATACGAACACGGTGTCTAGAATACCTGGAATACCGCAGGATTCGAGCTCGTGTACTTTTGTCCAATTATTTTTGGCATACATAAAACAGTTTTCTGGAAAATCATTTACCAGTGACCATGGGTCATAAATTTGTTCAAAGTACGAATCATTGCTTTTGAAGGGCTTTAAATAGTTATCAGGATCGATGTTGAGCTTTTCAAGCTCTTCGACTACCAAGTTGTCTTTGTTGTAGCTGCTTAAAGATGTCGAGGTCTTATTCATTTATATCTAAAATTAACACTCTTCGGTGTGCGTAGTTAAAATAATTTGCTTTATGTAAACACTTTACTTCCTTTTACTTTTTTGTGTATTTTTTACAACACACTTAAATGAGTAATTATTTAAATTTCGAATAAGCCCTAAATTCTAATTCTCTAAAAAATAATTGTGTTTGCACATGGATTATTGTTTCGTTTTTTTCCAACCTTACGATAAAAACATTTGATTTTGACACTAAAATTTCATAATATTTGATATGCTTTAGTGTACTGAGAAACGAGAATGCGCGTCTTGTAATATTCATGTTTTATCAAAATTCATGGAAAGAAAAAGTGGTTTCCTGTTTAAATGCTCCTGCCGTGGGTTGTGCCTTACTGCTTTGTTTTGAAAAATTTGGGCGGTTGCTTAGTGTCAGTAACACTGAACCGCCTGAACCCTTGAAAAGTCGTATCGATATCGACCAAAAAAGTGACATTCAATCAGAATTAAGCTACCCAAACAGTGACATTGAAATATACGATATATATAAAAATGACACAAAAGACTTGATGAGATCTAATACAGATCATGGCGTCGTTTCTTGCGACAGAACTCTCAGCGAACTTTGCCTCGGCGCAGTTATTTTACCAAAAAAATTAGTTATTGAATATGTGTCCTCTTACTGCTCGTTGTCAGGAGAAGTTGTGGAAGTGCTAATTCAAGAATATTTATATCAGGTTGTTTTATATGAAATTATCGATGAAAATATCGAACTCTTAGGGTTTACTGAACGCTTGAACTGGGCTTGGTACAGGTCGTTAAAAAAAATAACCTCCACGAATAGTGAAAAAAATTTATTAAAAGAACGCGAAGTCAAAGTTATCGTCTACGAAATAAGCAAGTATTTAACTAAATACATTTCTATTTTACGAGAAAACCGCATTATGTTCCCTTCCGGGGGTATCATGCTAAAAAATTTAATGGACAGTTTCTATGATTTCGAATTCGAAATAAAGTTCAAAAACTTTTACAACCGCGAAATTGGTTCCTCGATCATTTACCATATTTTACGAAATATAAATCCAAAAAATAAAATTTCTGACTTGAATTTGCGGATCGATAACATCATAAAACTACTGTTCGACGCGAACCTTATACAGGTCAAGGACGGAGATAGTTACCTTGTCCACCCGAGGTCCAAGTTGATAATTAAACTACTTAAAAAACTAAAAAATTATAAAGCGAACGCCAAACAGATAAAGATTTCTACTGAACTTCCTAGTTTTTTTGCAAACTATATATAATATAATTATTGGATGTAGTTACCGCTTCGAATTACAGTAATTTTTATATTGAACTGTGTTGATTGTTACAACGTTACGTAAGTGAATGTAACAAGTTCGGAGTTCGACTAATTTTCGCGCTATGATTGCCATGTTTCTCGCATGGAACCCTTCTTTCTTTTGTGTAAACCCTCTTGTTTTGACTTTTCCGTACTCACGCCAATTGCCGCGCCACAACAATCGTTTTTTATCGAGGTAAACTCCTCGCACCGTTGGTAACTTTGACGCGGCGACCGCTAAGACATAGCAAAGTCGAGCCACTATTTGCATTTCCGCCGGAGAAAGCCGCACATCTATCCCATTTTCTTTATTATATATATTATCTAAACAATGGCTATGCCCTGAAAGTTTCTCCATTTCGATTTTTAATAATTGCTGCCAATTCGCTCTGAAAAATAAATTTGGTTCCGGCTGGTTGATGTTGGTATAAAGCGCTTGATTCAAAATGTTATACATGTACGGCTCGAGTATAAGCTCTTCGGTGATAGACAAAAGAGTGTTTAGCTGGAATTCTTCTTGTTTTGCTTGCTCTTCTTTATTTTTACAGTAGTTATTATCAGATCTTGAATAGTTGTTGGCCCATCCAGGTTGGTTATTTGCGATTACTTCTGCTTCGGCGTTGAATTCTTGAATTTCTCTAGAGCATAACGCCGGATCATTCCAGTTTGTCATTTGACTGTTTGGTTTGTCAACTGGAAATTTATGATTTGCATCGTTTACGTTACATTCTAAACGAGGAACATGGATTGGAGAATGATCTTCATAAAAATAGTAATTAATTTCGTTTGGTTGCTTTGCTTCATATTGTTTGTAAGGAAGCTTTCTGCACTGATTATAATTATTTATGTTTGAATACGTCGAAGCTGTTTTGTTTAAAAGCAAGTATTCAGGAACATAATTTAACTGATAGTCAAAATTCTTTTGGTGTTGGTTGTGGTCTTCGTAAACGTTTTCCAAATGGTTTTTCTCGTTATATTCGGCACATAAACTATAATTATTATCTACGTAGCTGTTTATATTTGTTCCAATTTCAGAAGAAAAATTTCTTTCGTATTTATTTGTTGCAAACACATCCTCGAGCATTGCATTATTAAAATAACTCTGTGGATTATTCATTTCTCGATAAGAATCTGTTGACACGTCATTCGTATTAAAAACTTGACTTAGATGCCTTGATTGATTGAAAGTCATATCTAAGTGCGTTGGCTGCGTTCTGGAAAACACTGAATCTTTGTTTCGATATTCGTTATAATGTGGATAAGAATTTTTTAAATACTTCCCATAATTATTGTTCTGATTTAAACAATAATAATCAGAAGATTGGTGACATCGACTTTCCCGATTTGTTAGTTGATTTGATGTGCTTTCAGTTTTTGTTTGGTGCTGTATGTTATTTATTACAGATTGTTGACTATGTTTTTTATAAAGCTGATTTTTATTAAACTGCAATTCATTTAACATTTCACTATCACACTTTTATTATTATTATAGACAAGGTTGTTTTCTTTTCAGCTTGTTGACGTGTAAATTTTTTTCAAAAAACCTTTAAGATTAAATATTAATTGGATACGTGCACATGATGAAAATGATAATTCAAAAGTTTTTTACAGTCATTTGCCGTAAGCATTTGTTGTAAATGCCGTGCAGCTCTTCAATGTATGCTATGTATACATTCATTTGATTGACTAACGTAACTTACTTCTTACTCTACCGATCGCAGCATTATCGTTTTTGAAATGTTATATTAAAACACAAAGTGTTTGCTAATTTGTATATTTTTTTATGAGTAATCAGTCAATCTTATATAATCATCTAACTAAGAATCTTTATGTAATCGATTTTGACGAAACTCTTTTCCCAACTAAACTCTATGTCAAATATTGCAATCAAAACTATAAAATAATTAACTGGAGTTTCAATCTGCCCGATACGCCACTGAAACCCGTTAGTAACATATTATATAGAGTAGT